GTGTGTTGTGTGTTGTGTGTTGTGTGTTGTGTGTTGTGTGTTGTGTGTGGTGTGTGGTGTGTGGTGTGTGGTGTGTGGTGTGTGGTGTGTGGTGTGTGGTGTGTGGTGTGTGTTGTGTGTTGTGTGTTGTGTGTTGTGTGTTGTGTGTTGTGTGTTGTGTGGTGTGTGGTGTGTGGTGTGTGGTGTGTGGTGTGTGGTGTGTGGCGTGTGGCGTGTGTGTGTGTGTGGGTGCGTGCGTGCGTGCGTGCGTGCGTGCGTGCGTGCGTGCGTGCGTGCGTGCGTGCGTGCGTGCGTGCGTGCGTGCGTGCGTGCGTGCGTGCGTGGGTGGGTGGGTGGGTGGGTGGGTGGGTGGGTGGGTGCGGGTGCGGGTGCGGGTGGGGGTGTGGGTGTGGGTGTGGGTGTGTGTGTGTGTGTGTGTGTGTGTGTGTGTGTGTGTGTGTGTGTGTGTGTGTGTGTGTGTGTGCACACTCTGAGGTCCAAGAGATTTTTTCATCTGAAGTTTAAATGCAGGGGGCCACCGGGGGTCAGGGGGGTCGGTGGCCAACGAAGACACCCCCCTGACCCTGTGAAAACGTACCTGCGCGTGAGGCTTTTCCCTTCCCTTTGGTCCCTGAAAAGGAGCTGTCTGTTTCCTCTTTGTTTCTCTCCCACTAAGCGCCGGACGATATCATGCACAAGGAGTACGACAAGCAACGTGACTGCATCCTCTCTCGGGAGGCGTAACCAAAGTGTGTTAACCGGCAGTGGTTCTGTCAAAGGCACTGTCGTCAGGTTCAGTAAGAACCACGATCCAATATTCTCCAGGATACTACTGGAGCTGACTCCTGGTTTCACATTTTTCTGAAATTACCTTTTTCTGCACCAAAAAAGTCCTACGTCTGACATTATTCTTCGATAATGCTCCGTCTTGATGCTACGTCTGACATTAACATCTCAGCCAAAAGCCGGGCAGAGGACAGTTGTTTTTTCAGCAGCTGTCAGCACTGCTCAAAAAGAAGAAAAAGAGCCATCGCGTTGCCAATATGTCGCAATGGTGGAGTCGGAGCTACCAAAGCCAGGGCAATTCATGGCAGGACTGGCATCACAATGACTGGCGGTCACCTGCATCGACTAACAAGAAACGGTTGATACCAAATTGTGCAACCCTGTGCTAAATATGGCGTGGGCAGCTCCGCCCTTAACGGGAGCACGGCGTGATTCAGAGCAACGGACTCAAGCAGTTTTGCGTTGTTCAGGATGCGGCTTCGATGCTTCTCCGGCTATGCTGTCGGGGTGTGTGCGTGCAACCCTGAAACTCAGGGGGCCAGGTGGAATACTAAGGCACGGGCAGCTCCGCCCTTAACGGGAGCATAGCGAGGCAAAGTGGGGAGTCACGGGCAGCTCCGCCCTTAACAGGAGCATAGCGAGGCGAAGCGGGAGTCGGGCGTCCATCCGTCACGGATGGCGTGCGTGTGTGTGCACACTCTGAGGTCCAAGAGATTTTTTCATCTGAAGTTTAAATGCAGGGGGCCACCGGGGGTCAGGGGGGTCGGTGGCCAACGAAGACACCCCCCTGACCCTGTGAAAACGTACCTGCGCGTGAGGCTTTTCCCTTCCCTTTGGTCCCTGAAAAGGAGCTGTCTGTTTCCTCTTTGTTTCTCTCCCACTAAGCGCCGGACGATATCATGCACAAGGAGTACGACAAGCAACGTGACTGCATCCTCTCTCGGGAGGCGTGACCAAAGTGTGTGTGTGGGTGCGTGTGGGTGTGTGTGTGTGTGTGTGTGGGTGTGTGTGTGTGTGTGGGTGCGTGCGTGCGTGCGTGCGTGCGTGCGTGCGTGCGTGCGTGCGTGCGTCCGTGCGTGCGTGCGTGCGTGCGTGCGTGCGTGCGTGGGTGGGTGGGTGTGTGTGTGTGTGTGTGTGTGTGTGTGTGTGCGCGTGGGTGGGTGGGTGGGTGCGTGCGGGCGTGCGGGCGTGCGGGCGTGCGTTCGCGCGTGCGTTTGTGTGGGTTTGCGTTTGTGTTTCTGTCTTTGTTTTTTTTGGTGTTTGTGTTTTTTATGCAAATGATTTTGCAAAGTTTAGTGCGTTTGCATTGAGACATATGCATACACACAGATCACCAGCGGCGTGCTTTACTGACACACCATAGGCAGAATTTGCGATCTTGGATCAGCCATATGTTTGGCGCTCACGCGCTGGATGGAAATCAGAGGTTGCCCCTGGCCATGCGGGTGACGTTCTCTAGGAATGACAGACAACCTCGGAGGTCTGGTAGTTTGGGGGCCCAAATCCTGTAGAGCGTAAATGGAATTCACCCGGAACCTCACATGAGGGGAGCCGGGGGGTTCCCACTATCAGGGAACCCATTTTCCGCTTGTGAAGCATTCGTTGGGAACGTAAATCACAAAAAACCTTCCTATTCTTCACCTCCCAAAGGACAAGTTATTTCCCATGCTGGAGGCTTACAGAGGGGTTTGGAGATGTACAGTATTTTTGAAGAGGCCGCCAGCAATCCACTTTTTCGACCACTGGAAAGAGGGAATATGCCGCTTGGGTGGCTTTGATATCATTCTTCGCTTCGGTTTGGGGTTTTGGAAGGATTTGGACACCTACATGCCCCATAGTCGTTTAAATACAACTTTTTCGCTTGTGGTTGCCTGTTGGGGGGGACGAACCACTCTGCAGGCCGCCGGCCGCGTGCGGATCTGAGAGCTGGTCTCGTCTCGCGTGTTGCTGTTGGCCAGGCCAGGTTCTAAACAAAGGTGAGTCGTGGGATTTGGGCGGGTTGTCTTGCTCAGTTGCCCTAACTTTTTGTGGATTTAGCCCCCCCCTTTTTAAGCTTAAAGGGCTTCTCTTGCAGGGCCCACCCTAGGGATAGGACCTGTTCCAACATGGTCCCAACATAGGGAAGCTTGAACAGGGTTGATTCCCTTTTTTCCCCTCCCAACACCATCCAGGGTGGGTGTTTGCAGAGGCACCCTTGAAAATGGATAAGTTGTTTTGGTTTCCTTCGATTACAAAGGGGTTGCTCTCCAGATGAACATGGAGCCGCCTCGATGCATCCCATTTGTAGAAGAGATCCGCCATAAATCGCTTGTACCCAAAACACCCTATAGAGGACCCCCGTGAAAAAATAGCACCCCACGATTGTGGCAAGAGTCATGGGCCTTATTAAGGGCTTAATAAGGGCTTATTTGGGCTCCCTCCCACTCCCCTCCCTCCCGCCCAGCCCCCATGAAAGAGAATCCTGTGTAATGAGTTGGCCCCACTGAATTTCGCGCCTTTCTCACGGGATGAAGCGCATGAAGCGCTCTCGGCGCTTCAGGTCGGCAGCCAACTTTTCGAGAAGCGGCGGGTGCAAAAGTGGGGGGCTCAGGCGGGTCGGTCCGCCCCCGGCCCCAGGTAGGACGGATGCGGTAGACAGCTTTTTTTCCCCGTTTTTGTTTTTTCTTTCTGTGGGGAAGCCTTGCTAGAAGCCTTGCTTTTCTACACACCTGGGCAACTGAGCACACAAAGGCACACTGCAGTTCCCGTTTTGCTGGCTTTGAATATCACCGTGGTTGCCAAGATAAAGTGTTTTTTTTTTACATCGAACATTCATGAAAGTAGACATGGGGACCCTTTTGAATGTTTGTTCGGTTCTTTCCATATTGGGCTTCGGTTCTTTGCATGGGGGTCCAACAGCCGCCCATTTTCGGTTGGTCTACCCCTCCAGATGGGTTGCGATCTCAAGCTGAAGCGCGTGGGACAGGCGCAAAGGCGCAAAGCAACAAACCACTGACCAAGATTGCGTCTTGCAAGGCTCGGAGGCCAGGTTTGACCAAGTGTCTTAATGAGGGCGGGAAATCATTAAGGGCAAATGGTGGGTTTCCATTCGGTCGTGTCTCCAAGACACAGCCTCGATCTCCAGGTCGCATGACTGATGCACCACCCAGGTCTAGCCATCCAAGAGGCATACTCTTGTGTCAACCCTCGTCTAGCTCGTGGCACCCTCCCGGTTGCTTGTGTTCATGCCAATCTTATTTGTAGGCATGTATGCATATATATATATATACATATATATATATATACACACATATGTACGTATCATGCTATAACATGTGCTTATTTTGTACTTTGTGTGAGATGTGTCATTGCCTTCTTTGGAGTAGTTCTCAATGGAGAACGGGAACCAAGAAATCCACACTCTTGGTACCATCCGTACATGAGGTTTCCGAGAATTTACGCTTTACATGAGGGTAGGCACTATCTTCATTATGTGTTTCACACTCTCTAGTACGGAACTGCAGATCCGGCCTCTCTAGAACAAGAATCTCCCACCGACTGTGCCGAGGTTTTATCTGGCGCTGGTGCTGGGCCATCCTCCGCAAGGGCCTTAGCCAAGTCCCGCCATCAAACCCCTATGGTAGATGAAGATTCGTTGGCCACCTTTCCATGGTCCCACAAGTTGATGCTGAAACCTTCGAACAGGGGAGATATATGGAGATAATGTTAAAGCCAATCAAAACTTAGGCAGATGGGCCTTGCATGAATAGGTGCAGAAGGAAATTTGTTTAATCTCTACGTAGATCTGGGAAACCTCTTCAACGTCAGAGTTTGATCATGGCTCGCCAGAGACCTGTCAATATTCTTGGTATGTATTCTTGATCAGTAGAATATCACAGTTTTTTGCCCGGTATGCTAGGGGTTGGCAAGGCTCATGTGGGGGATGTTATAGGGTTGACCATTTTGCGGGTCTTCTTTGCGAAGAACAGCTTTTTTGCCGTCAGTTTGCACCCGTGCCTGCTTCCTTTGTCTTGAATGCCTGTGTCCACGCTGCTTGGCAGGCTTGGAGATGGCGCGGGGCGTTTCGGCTTTTTGTCCGGCCATTCAACCCCTCCCCCCCAAGAATCCTCCAGGGTTAAGGCCTCAATTGACCTCATTGTTCTTCCTGGCGAGGTGGTTAATCTCTAACCCTGGGTTTATTTTGCCAGGCAGGCAGGTGGGCCAGTTTTTTTTTTTGCTTCTTCTGATTTGTTCATCAAAGGGCTGAGGGGTTCGACTCGTCGAGCATCTCTCAAAACTCCGAGGTGGAAGTCCGAGGTGCACCTGACGGACCGCCTCTGCGATGGCGAAGGCCGTTCAGCTACTCGGCGTCTCGAAGGTTTTGGTCCAAACTTTTGTGTGGGGGGGGGGGGTAAGGATATGGCTGTGGGTCAAAACCATTGGTAGCATTTTGGGGTAGGTCACCACCCATTTTAGTCTATTTTGGTGGGGATTGGGATGTTCACTGGGGGTATGGGCTTTGGACCCATGGCCACATGGATTCTATCCTACCAACATGCAGCCTGAAACCAGAGACCAGTGGTTTAGACTCTTTGCATGGGGCGGTGTCCCTTATCGGTTTTCTTGTAGACGGACCCGGTTCAGGTTTGGGGTGTGCAACTGGGCTAACCCAACCCAGTCACTTGCTATAGGGCTTGGGACGGAGCGAACATCGCGAAGTGGCAACACCATGAGGGGTTCTTGTCCGTGGGTATGCGTCGTCCCAAAATTGGATTTGGACCCATGACATTTGACACCGTCCTGAATGAAAGGGAGGGGGTCCAAGGTTGTGTGGCGCCGATACTGGGCTCATTCTGTTTCCATTCCAAAAGCCCAAGAGGAAGAGCGAAGGAAAACAACCAAGCTCCAGTGGTGCGTGTTTTTGAGGGGGGAGGGTTCCTGCAACATCAGCCGACAGATGCAGGTCCACTACAATGTGCTGCTTTGTTTTTCTCTAAGCCAACACCATCGCCCCACCAAGCTCGCAGGCGCCCCCGAAAGGGCAACCATAGAGACAACAGGATTCAGCATCCGGGCTGTGCCTGGGGCAATGCCCGTTTTCAGGTCCAGGCTATCGGATAAACCCGACATACGCCTGCCACTTATTTGGTGTCAAAGTTTCGGACCCCAAACTGGTGGTGTCCCTTTTGATGTCCCTTTGACCCAACCGTTAAAAGGGAACCCCGACAAAAAACCGCGCCCGACACGGGGGTAGGGATGGCCGGTGGTGAAAGCAACCGCTTTGCCAGGCTTCGCTCGGCGGCTGGCCGCGGAGGAGGAGACAGGCGAAGAGGCGGGGAGGAGTTCGTCCAATGGAATGTCCATTGTATTTCTCAAGATTCTAGGGTGCCCCTGGGTTTTTGGTGGTTTTCTAGAAAGAAGGATCCCTGGAAAAAATGGAAATGGAAGTTACCCCTAGAACTTAGGCTAGAGGAAACAGGAATTTGGATGGGGATTGGAACTGATCCTGGGTAAAATGGTGCTTCAGCCCCGGAACAACCTCATCGGCCATTTTGGCAGGTCGTTCCAGGATCCTGGTTTGGGGGTCAGAGTAAGGCCTAGATAAACCATGCAGAACGTGTAGCACCAGAAGCCAATAAATTTGTTCAGTGGATTCCACCGCATCCGTTCTACCAGCCACGGGGCATTTCCTCTTGAAGGTAGCCCACTGGATACCCTTAAACCCCCGGATTGCCGTATGTTCAGGGCCCCGTGGAAGACCAAGAGAGGATGTCTTTGGAATGGACCCAGCATTGTTCCAGGGACTCCGCAGCCCCCTTTTGAAGGGTCGGGCAAAATGGGATTAGACAGCAAACGAAGCAAGGGGAACCTAAAAACGATATGTGTTCGGCGGTTTATCTACCTCAGATTAACTTGGGACTGGTTCCCTGTGGCGGACATTTCTCTGAAAGCGTTATTTTTTGTTTTTTTTTCTCCCCCAAAAAAGCATCGGTTCTTCGGGTTCCATGTTTAGCAGGGGAGTTGCAGGGGAGTAGCCTGCTGGCAACTCTGCCAAGCAACCTCAACCAGCTCGAAAAGGGGGGCAGTTTCTGCCATCAAGTGGGTTGCGCGCGAAGCAACCGGGCAACTCAAACCCGAACGCATGTAATCGAGGAGCTTTTGAATGGCTTGGATGGGGATTCCCCATGTCCAGTTGGTGAGGTTGAAGCTAGGGTTTGCAGATCAACCTGATTGCACAGCCGTTTTCCCAAATTTCCAAAAACCCAAGAAACCCAAATCTCCCCAACACTTTTTCTCCCAAAGAACCCCCCCAAAAATGCCAAGCCGGCCACGCCAAGATCTTGCAACGTGTCCAGCTCGCCGGGCGTTGGCCGGCCTCAGGCCGAGACCTTTGCGGAGCTGCTTAAAGTGGGCCTCTGGCCCAAAGGCGCGACAGGGGGGAAGCCGCCGGCGAAATCTGCCGGGGAAGTGGGCATGCGTCGAGATAAAAACTCGCGGATGCGACGAGAATGGGTGTTTTCCTTGTTGTAATACCGTATTTTTTTGATGGACAAAAATGGGTGGGTTGTCCTGCCTTCCGTTTGAACCCTGAAAAGGGTACTGAACCTGAACAAATGGCGCACTGTGCACTGAAATGGGCAGCGTGGTTTTGGGAGGGCTTGGAACTGGCCATGAAAGCGTCCCAAATAAGGCCCGAAGCGAAAATGACACCACGCCAAAGAGTCATGCCCGGATGTCTGGCACCTCTACATGCCTGCGCTCTTCATGTTTTCTTCATTGCCGGGTTGTCGCCTCCGGTTGACATCATGGCACCTTGGTAAATGAACTAAAGACTAAAGCCTGCGTTAACCCTAGCTCTTTAATTTTGAGCCACACCCAAATGATCCCAGCTGCTTCTTGGAAAAGTTGGTAAAAAAGCCTTTCTAAAACTTGATGTCACAGAGGCCAGGCCCCTGTCGGGTCAGGTTTCTTCATGGCAGCTCTTTGTTCGAGCGGTTCCTCCCGTTCATATCCCTGGAAACTTGGCAGCTCACATTAGAATCCTCAGATTGGCAATGCTCACTGAGAAACTGGGGGTTAGTGGAACCGCCCGGGGAGATAATCGAATCTGGTAGGGCCTCCAAAATGGTGAAATCCCACGTCCCAAAACAGCTCCAAGCACTTCAAAGTCATACCCAGACGTGGGATGTCCGAGCGCTCACTGCGAACGTTTCCACAGGCCCTTGCTCTCGTGCGCCCTTGCCGGTGGCACTGGTGCGTCTGCGTTTGATGACTGGCAGGCGGGCCACACCCAGTCTGGACCAACGAGCAAAAGAAAGGAGGACAATGGGAACCAAGGAATTGAAGGGAAGATCAAGGGGAAACCCAAGGGGATCCCAGCAAAACCCAAGGGAAACCCAAGCAATTTAAGGGAAAATCAAGGGAAACCCAAGGGAAACCCAAGGAATGCAAGAAAAAGCCAAGGGAACCGGATCTTAGTAGAACCTCTGGTTGATTTTGAAGGCAACACAAAATCGCCGGCGCGACGCGATCACATTGAGGCGCCACCAGATTCGGCTGCACCTGTCGGGTGCTGGCTTTCCGGTCCTCGGGGATGACACCTACGGAGGCCGCGCGGAGATGCCGAAAAATGGGGGCGGGATTGAGTCCCCGGTTGAAGGGTCCTGCCGTTTTCCTGTCTTGCCGGTGGCTATGCCCAGACTTTCAAGAGCCACCAAGCACCAGTGCTTGCCCTTCGGTTCCTTCCTGGAAACCCAGTGGATCCCCAACCAAGCTCACAACTCAACCGAAAGCATGCCAAGACAGAAACCGAGAGCTGAAACGGTCCTTCCCAGTAGTCAACCCATCCTCAATTCTCTTGAACGCTGTGTCATGTCGCTGTCAAAATCAGATTGATCTGAAGGACAATACTGATCCAACCCCCAAAAACTTCATGCCACACTGAAAGGGGGTTTCTTGCCCCACGGTCCCGCGCAAAGCCCTTGAGAGAGTAGATCTGTGTCGCTCTTTGTGACCTTACCTTTTTCGCAAATGGGTGTGTGTCAGACCCCCCCCAAGTGCTGGTTGTCCTTTCGTTTCCCTGGAAACGAATCTGCAAAGGGTATCGAAAAAGCACAGCTCCAAATGGCGGTTTCCCACAGACCAAATGCGTGAGTTCAGGCAACCCCTGGGGCGACCGCGCAGGCAGCTACCGTCCGGCAGCCTGGACTCGATTCCGAGAAAGATCTACCTTGGGCTGGTGTGGTTGCCCCTAGGCATTTGAGATCTCATTTCCCCCAGTACGGGTTTCATGATGGTGCCAACCCAAATCTCGGTCACAAAGCTTTTCCATCCTTTGCGCGTCTGTGAGGTATGTTCCATGTATGCGGGGTTTTTAACAGACCAAGTAGGGAAGTGGACCCACGGCAATTGACAAACAAGTTGAAACGACTGTGGTTTGTTCTCCGGTCCACTGGAACCTTGTTCCGCGCATCAACCGTATTGCTCGACACGGTCATGGGCTTATCGCCGCAAGGGGTTCATGGCCTCTGTGTTCAAAGGAGCTGTTGCCCTGGGACCGATTTTTGGATGCCGATGAGCTTTCAGCTTTCTGAACCGTGGTCGACGAGTCGGGGTCCTCAAATGGGTCAACCGGTGCAGAAAAAAATGGCCAAAGCCTTGAGGCATGTTCCTGCACTCCCATCGCTTGGCGCGGGCCCAAAGGGCAACGGTGGCGCTGTGTGAGAGTTCTGCGTTTGTTGGTATGTTTCTTGGGAAGGAGGAACATGAGGGCTTCTCATCCCAAAAAAGGCTCTCAGACACCATCTAAGACCCCCCTCTAAGAAGTGTGTAAGAGGTGCTGTGTGAGAGGGCTCCCCTATATACCCGAAAAGGCTGTCAGAACCAATCTAAGACCCCCTGCAAGAAGGGTCTAAGAATCTTTTCTTTTTGTGGGCCTTGCCCGTTTTCCCAGGTTTACCATTCTTGGACGATCTCCCAGTCAGGTCTTGTTGTTATTTATTTTTTTGCAGGCCCCAAAAGCAGGTGATTGACATGGGGCTTGGTGCCCTTTAAATTGGTGGAGCCATCTCGCGCCAAACACAATTGGTTGTCCCTTTGATGTCCTCAACCCACATAGGGCACCCTCAACAACACATGGTTGTTGGTGGGAAATATTTTTCATTTTTGCTTACTTATCGTGGTTTAGTGGTTGAACTCCAACCACTGAACTGCTAAAATTCTAATAACATGCTCCCCTTCCAACGTCAACCAAGAAACATGGGTCAAAATCCCGTACCCCCAGTGAACATCCCAATCCCCACTAAAATCCCGACTGAAATGGGTGGTGCAACTACCCCAGAATGGGATCCCATTGGCTTTGACAACAACAACCACATCCACATTTCAGCAGAAACCCGTGCAGGTGCTCGAGGAGGAGAAGATTTGCATCGAGGCTGCGCTATTTTTTGGATCGCAAGAGGGGAACGCTAGGTCCTTCAATTGCCCCACAATTTTCCCCCGCCCGTTAGCCCAAACGAATGTGTGGCCTAGTCGGCCCTATCTCTAGGGCAGCTATTTCTCATGGACCCATTTCAGTAGCATCCGCAAAAGCCACACACAAATGGCTATGGGTCAAAACAAATGGTAGCATTTTGGGGTAGGTGAATTCACCACCCATGTTAGAACCTATTTTAGTGGGAATTGGAATTTTCACTAAGAGTTCGGGACTTTTTAACCCATAGCCATTTGTGTGTGGGTTTTGCGGATGCGACTGAAATGGATCCAGGAGAAAAGCCGCCCTGGAGATACCCCATGGCACCTGGGACGATTAGGCCGCACATTCGTTTGGGCCATCAGTGCCCTTCCCCTAGAAGGGGGCGGTTCGGTTTTGGGTCCGATTTTTGAACTCTGGCTTCAGGTTGGTTCCTTCGCTGGATTTCATCTCTCCAGATCAGCACGGAAGCCTCAAAACAAACCTGCCATGTTTAGAGGATGGAGTTTGGGGCACCTTTCTGGGTTGACGTGGAGTATCCTTTTACAAGCACAGACTTCACCCTTCATCCAGCCGAGCAGGTCCCTCACCTCGAGTAGACAACCACAGGCCACAGCAAACCTCCAGATGGCTGGGAGTCCTTAAGCTCCAAAGCGGGTTGCTCTTCGGATACCTCGAAAACAAATTGGGACTCCACGACTTGTGGGGGCCTTGGATTTTCCAACGGTTTGGTGGTCCTACGGGGCCAAGCCTACATCATATGAGTTCTTGAGGCCCCATGTGGGACTGCTGCAAAGGACAACCAAGGCAAAGGGAGGTTTTACTGGCTTCAGACACAGAAAGAAAGCCAGAATTGTTTTCCCCGGAAGACACATATCTATCCCGGGCATGTGACTCTGCAGTGACTAAGCCCCGCGCGGTGGCAACTGTCGGTTGAGTTGCAAGGGCACTGCTCTTTCAATCATTTGACACGTCTCTTAACAGCAAACTTTTTCAAAGGGTTTCTCAAAATTACGTTGCGGGGATGATCTCTCTTACATTCAAAGGTGGATTTCGAGGATGTCACTTTGAAGGACCCAACCTCAATTGGTCGTATTGCCACGTGTAGATTGTGTTTGAGGGGCAAGCTTCCAAAGGCGAACGGGGAACCCTAAATGTTTCGGATCTCTAGAGGAACATATCCCGCTTTTGGCTTGTTTTCAATGTTGGGGTGGGGTGCGTGTTTGTGTGCTTGTGCGTGTGTGTTGGCGCGGGGGGGGGCAGATCTTCGTGTTGGCATGAGCAACCTTTTTGATCTCGCCCTCCAGCTCTGGGGTTTCCCGACAGCCGTGACAGCCGCGACAGCCGTGATCTTTGTGTTCGCCAGGGTGGGAGGGGGGGGGATTGTTTCTGGTGTCTGTTGCTTCAAGCACGGCTCCGCACGTATGAAATCCATACCATGGCCATCTGACTCAAGCTTGATGCAAACTTGTGTGTGCGCAGAGCTCGCCGTTGACAGAAAACCGTGCCCTACGCTTTCCGATTTGTGGTCACTGCTTGCACACGCCTTATCTATTGATCTCCATATGCAACTGGACCATTCTTGTATCAGAGAAATAGAAAGCAGGGACTTCTCCTTGGTTCCTCGGGATCCCTGGGGGCGAAAAGGCACTGAACAAGCGAGGGAAAAAGCGTGCTGCCTTACGATGTGCAAAGCGGTTCGCAGGTGCCCGTGTATTACTGCTCAATCGCCCGGTTGGTAAACAGTCAAAAGCGGTGGTTTTGGCCCGGGGACTCCTCAGAAACGGAAGCCTTCGAACCAGCGCGTTTTGTTTGTTTGGAGGCGCCCTGCGGCTTCGCGGATGAGCTGACGCAGGACTCAGCCTCCCAGTTGCCATTTTCAAGACGGCTTGCCGGTCTTTTCATGTCAGATCTTGCCACATGGTTGTGGGTCAAAACCAATGAGATCCCATTTTGGGGATTGGGTGAATTCACCACCCATTTTAGGCTTCCTATTTTAGTGGTTGGATTGAATCGGATGTTCACAGGGGGTACGATTTGGATTTTGACACATGGCCACATGGGTTTCGGCGCTTTGAGCCAACGGGGCAATTGGGCGATTGAGCCCGATGGAAACCATGGAAGTCATGGGAGTCCCATCAGGGCAACAAAGCCACTTGGTGGCACTGGTTGGCGCGTGAAAGCAATGAAAACATATATTTGTTGTGATCGAACCCTGGGAAGTTTGAACAGATCTGACAGGGTGGGGAACAGCCGACTAGCAACCATTCTTTGATTCTGCCTTGAGATGAAGTTGGGTGCGGGGCCGCACATGTCTGCCTATTTTTTGCTGAGCGCTCTTCGATCAACTGGCCATGATGTAGGTCCTTTCCTCGGGGATCCCTTGCTTCAGGCTGCGGAAATGTACCATTTTGCAGAACGAAAAGCGGTTCGGCCCGCGTAGCCGGTGCTTAGCGAACGGCTCCAATCATTTGCTTCAGAACGGGTCGTTCAATGCAGACCCCAACGAGCAAAACGCGCCGAATCAGAAGATTCGAGGGCTGATTCCTTTGGACAAAGCACTGGCGCCCTTTCAAGGCGGGAGTTCTCAAAATAATTAGGGGTTTCCTCAAATGAGCCACAATCCAAACCCGGGTAGATGAAGGGTAGCAAGGGACAATCCCAGCCATAAATAGCTGCAGCCGCCTTCTTAATTCTTTACATGGTTCTGGGTCGACCATTTTAGTATCGGGTTTTGATTTGACTCAAATGAGGGTGTGCTTTTTGAGGGTAGCCTTGTTCGGGGTTGGTGGAAAGGGAAGGCTGAAGGAAACCAAACGTGTTGAGTCTTTGCTTACCACACTCAGGGTCTGAAACCCATTTTGAGAAGCTCCCAATCAAACTGCCCAACAAATCAAGACCGCCATTTGATTGCCGTTTGGTTCTGATGTCACTCAGTGCGATGTTGGGGGATCGGGTGTTTGGCTTTCTGTACTTTTCCCGCCTTCGTATCTCACCCCAAAGCGAATTGACCGATTGACCTTTTGGTTTTCCCATTTTGGTGTATTTTCACCAGACCCCCAAATGGGTGACCCTTGATTTTCAGCTGTTTTGGGCAAGTGTAGGTTGTGCAGGCCTGACCTTTGGGGTAAAGCCCGTTCTCCGGACCCGGATGGGGCAAGCCACCAAAACAGGAGGCTCGCTCGTTGCCATTTCCACTCACTTCGTGGCCGAAGGCAGTTGCCCTGGGTGCACTGCCTCGTGTGGAAGGCGCGGTAGGAAAGGATCTCGCAACCCGGAGCGAGACTCAAGGTGAGTGTTGGTTCTGTCGGTTGGAGTTACTCTTCGTTGTATGAGCTCACGTATTGGAAGTCTGGGACGACTGAGGATCCAGCGGACTCGGGGCACCGCGCAAGTCCCGGGTGTTCTCTGCGCGGGTCAACATGCAGCTTGGGAATCACTCCCTACATGGATATGGACTGAGGTGATCAAAGGTTCCGAAGTTCGGCGGAGAAGAAAAAATGAATAACAAACAGAGGGGGATCCGGGCCTCGGTTTTTTGGCAAGCCTTTCTTTCTTAACACCTGGACGGTTCGCAGCTTTGACGGGGGACACTCTCGGAGCGGCTTCGCAAAGCTGCGACCGATCTGCGGGCTGCGTTTCAATGGCCAAATCCGAAGGCGAATGAGACAGAGCAATGCACTGAGTGGCTGCATTGGCGGACTCTCGAACGGTCCGGTGTCAGAGCCAGGGGGCCCGCGCTGAACAAGGTCATGATTAGACCTGGGCAGTTTTGCGCCTTCTTTCAGCATGCACTCTCAAAAACGACCGCTGGCCAATCGGCCCAGCGAAAAAGCAAACATTCAATGCATTGCTTTGGGGAGCGGGCACCAGTGCACGGATCTGCCTGCCTGCTCCTAGGCTTCGGTGGTTTCAGGCTTCTGGAGCGGTTTCTGGGCCAATGCAAGCGTTATTTCGATTGTTGTAACGGCATTGGAGCACACACGGGCACCTGATTTACAAAAGCATCCCCCCTTAAAGCCCTTGAACAAGCAGCTTCGCAGGTGTGGGGAGTCTGTAGGTGGTAATATGGCCTTTGATTCGGCTTTAGAGCATGGCGAATGTCCAAGAAGTCTCAATCGTATTTTTGAGTTGTGTTGTTGCGCAGCCCAGCTCTGCACTTCTCTGCTTGCGCCAGCCCTGCTCCGCGTAGCTCCGCTCTGCACAGCCCTCCGGCCGAGCTCTGCACAGCTCGGCTTAGCGCAGATTCGCGCAGCCCAGCTTGCAGCTCCCAACTTGTAATGTTCTGGCGGGCGGTATTGGGACGAACCCGCTGCGGGGATCGTGTGTGTCGGCCTCGCTCTCGCTGTGGCGCTGTGCAAGTTTCGCTGCAGTTCTGGCTCGGATTTCCGCAAGTATGGCGTGAACTTCCCAACTGTTCAGTACGGAAATAGTATGCAAAGTACGACATCCCAACAAGCACCGCAGCCACACCACCAGCAATTTGATGTTGTTTGTAGATGGAATTGAGTGCAGCCAAGGGCTGCTTTGAGAACACGACATCCCTGCGAGCGCGCTTGTCCCGGAAACCCACTCCGCCACCATTTTGAAGTTGTTTGTTGACGGATGCGCAGCCGACGGCTGCTTTGAGAACATGACATCCCTGCAAGCACTCTTGTGCTGGAAGCCCACGCCTCCATGATTTTGATGTGCTTTGTGAATGGTTTCGAGCGGAGCCAAGGGCTTTTCTGAGAGCGCGACATTCCTGCAAGTGCCCTTGTGCGGCGCAACCGCAGCACCAGCCCGCCTGTTGACGTGCGCGTGCGCTGTTTGTCGGTCAGCAAAAACTGATGCGTTTTGCTGACATAGTGATATTTGCTTTCCTTGCAAGCTCTGGCCTGAACTTGAACCTTCTTTGGCCAAGCGGCTGGCACTTGGTCTTCCTCCTCGTGGTTCCTGGACAATTTGAACCCGGCGCGGGCTGTTGATCTTTCACTTGGCGAACCAGGCTGTGGCGGTGCTTCCTGAACAACTTGACAGCATGCTGGTAGCAGCGCGCAGGTAGCAGCATGCGGCGCAAATAGTCAAGACGCCTGGCCGCCACCTTTCACAACGCTTGTTTCATTATCCTGTCCGCGCACGCTTTGGGATAACCGGGGTCTAGTTTTCAATTTGCGCCCGCACAGCGTCAAACTTGCAAAGAGCATTGTTTCTGTGAGGAAGGCCCTTCATGTCAGGTGCCAGAAGGAGGGCTTTTGACTGGCTCTGAAAAGTACCCTTAGGCATTGAGCCAGGCAGTGCCGTCCACAGGTGGATTGCCTCGAGTTTGTTTTATCATCGAGTATGTTAAAAGAGAGACTAGAGAAGCCGGGGGGGCTGGGAGGAGGCAGCCTTTCACCCTTCTTTTCCGTGGATTTGTCGAGTGCCGCGCGGAGGCAGCTGACGCCAACTTTTGACCGCTGAGGGCTCAGGCAGGGCTGACAGCCGGGGAGGCTTCGGGGGTTGCCATTTGGCGATCGACAGCATTCTGCATGAAGCATAGTGGCGTGCCTTACGTTCTCGCAGGGTCCTTCGCTTGCGGGAGTTGAGGGCACTTGGCCTTAATGCTCAAGCTAAGGCTATCGGCATGTCCTGCGAACCTGTGCAGACTCGGCCGCCGTTCGGCTGGAATGAACTGCTCAAGAAACTTTGGTGCGCAACCACTTTTTGCATGAGCTTGGGGGCATGGTGCTACTCATGGATCAAAATCATGTGGTTTTGCAAGGCTATGGTCTGGGACAGAGACCGAGACATTTTGACCCGGGCCCCACTTGCTGGGCAGCTGATTGGCCTAGTCATGACCAACATTTTAGGCGCCATCCACTTCTCGCGCGCAGAAGACAGAGTGGGAGTGATCCTGGCCATTTTCGATTTGGATGTTTGGCTGCTGGCTTTCCGCCACGGCCCAGGCATTTTGAAGGGAGAGGCACCTCGGCCATGGGAGAAGCTGCGCCTACGCAATGCGATTTGGCGCGGGATCCCTTTGGCGTGCATCGACTACTACCTGGTCTCCAGAGATATGTTCGAGATACCGATTTGTCACCTAGCCGCTGCTCAGCGTGTGGAACTGGTCAGAGCAGGGCACAGGGATGCTTCGCCGTTTTGGACAGCATTGAACAGAAGCAGAATTGATCCATTGCAACTAAATGAAGTGCAAACAGATTCATGGTGGACATCGACATCTATGTATCAGCCGGAGACTTTGGCATCGCTTCTTCTTGTGGAGAACGCGATTTGGCACTCCTGCCTTTGCAACAAGTCCATCTGGGAGAGGCGGAGACTCAAGCCAATTGAAGATATGTTGCAAAATTACCCACATTTTCAGTTGGTCAACGGAAATGACAACAACTTCTACGGACAATCGTGGTACTGCAACCTGTTCGCGATAAATGTCAAACTGCATGATGAGTTTTGTAAGCGGCTTCGCCGCGAAGATCGCAAGCTGCGCAAGCAGTTGCGTGAGCTTGCTTGAAGATCAGGCTCTAGTTGGAAATCTTTAGCAGCAAGGGCTAGCGTGGCACTGATGACCAGTGAGGAGCTCTTTGAAGCATTAGCTTTGTGGAAACGGATGAGACTGGGCCAGGCCTCATAAACACTGTTGGGCAGTCCCCTTGGGGAGTCTTTTCGATGCTCATGGCCTGCTTCTCTTTGTGCAATGCTTCCTTGCCCATCGCGTCTCATGTGTGCAAGCTCCGCATGGCCGCGGCCAGCAAGTACTTAGTCCGAGTCAGAGTCGGACTTCACGTCCTGCTGGATATCATCTTCTTGGTCAGAGCAGCAAGCTTGATGCTGCAGAGTTGGCTGGCCAGTCTTAGTGGCAGGGTGTTTGATTTTATCTTGGACACGTGTTTCAGAGTTGCGCCATCCTTCCTTCAGGTATACACTTTTGAAAGCATGGGGCAGTCAGAGGACACATCTAGGAACGTCATCTCCAACATCCTTGCCACGACGGTCCCAGAAGCGGCGAAACATGTGCAGAGCCAAGTGGAGCTTAAGGCTGGGCTTGCGCCGAAATTGTCCCTGCAGATTGTCGCAGTGATCGCTGGCTTTTTGCTGCTTTCAGCCATCACAGCGTGGTCCTTGCGCCCAAGTGCCTCAAGGCTTGGCTTTGGACGATGCCTGAACTCCGCGATTTGCGGGCCGTTGTATTTGCTGGCTGGGGAAGACCGCTCTGTGCCAGAGACGTGCGGTTATGTGTGGAGGCTGATTTGCCTCAGAGGGCTGTTCCTGGCCTCCATGGTGGCGTTTGCCTGGCAAGACGTGAAAGCAACTCACGCTGAAGTGTTTTTTGCCCCCTGCAGCAATGAGAATGTGTCGTACCGCATGCTTGCGCTGGCTGGCGTTTGTTCTGGCCCACACTGGCACAGGCTTTTCTGCTGTCGCTGCCATCAAGAGTTCTGCCCAGCAGAGTTTGGGGCAACACGAAGCTGACGATGTGCCCTTGGAAAGCCTTTCGGATGCTGGCCCTGTCAGGGGCATGGGCGGCATGGGCGGCGTGGGCCATCGAAGCTTTCCAGTCCGCCAGGCTAGAGGCGGCCAATGCAGTGAGCAGTGCTTCCACCGGGCGAGGGAATCTCGTTCGCCGATGTGCGGCGAGCCCTGCTCCTTGCGAAAGTTCGAGTTTCACCAGGCGGAGCCATTCGCTTCAAACCTTCTTTTGCGGAGCTGTAGAACAAGGAAGAGCCCGTTTCTCTCTTTGGGCCAGGAAGGAATGGCGCGTGGCCCACCCCATCCCCCCTGAAAGCCTCGTCGGCCTCGGATCCATGTTCCATGCTCCGGCAGGGCAGACTCCGGAGCCCGAGGTGTGGCGCGGAGGGGGATGGGCTTTGGGCGTGTTGTTCTTTTCCTTTTTCGGATTTCCCAGCATCAAAATCAGGCCTGTTCTGAAGGGGACTTGGTTAAAACCAGGAGCTGACTGCGCAGACGGCAGGGTCCACTTGGCATGTGCTTCACAGGGTTGCGCCTTACCTTGACTAAATTTTCGGTCAGAGTCGAAATTGCGAGTTTGCTGTGGTCGTGATAGATCTGTCAAAAGGCAGGGGCCCACTCCAGGATAGTCTTCCATTTGTTTAAGATTTTTTTGCCCCTCTGTTGGTCTTAAAAGGAATCGATCACTGCTGGAAATATGTATATTTTTTCCAGGGGGCTTAAGCAAATGGAAGTAGCTGAAACTACAGTCTTGAGCGTCATTTTTTTTTGCCAGCATTGGCATCGCTTGTGGACCTGTTCCAGCAATGGCCGGAGGAGGGCTGCCATCACCATGACACCAAATGTCACGCGTAAAAGGTAAAGCAGCATGTACAGCAAGAAAGCCGGACACAGGCCCTTGAGAGGCGCATTCACCATGAGGGCGAACGGTTGGCGAAAGGTTGGCGAAACCGCGGCAGTTCGGCGAAAGGGCTGGTCTCAGAAGATATTATTTTGATTAGCCCCGAAATGAGCCAGTGCTGGAAGAAGACATCACTCGTTTTTCTCAGGGCTCGGTGTGATTTGACCAGGTCACATTGCGATTTCATGGGATCGCTCACTCGCAAGTTGGGTTTTCTTGCAAAGGCCAAGTGACAGCATGTTGATATTTCACTGCTGCATGCATTGAGCGCGAGAATCAGCCGATTCATTTTTCTGACGTTTAAACAGCTGTGGTGTTGATAATTCCTGCATGGGTCAGCTTTTTGCGTGTTTTCTAAACCACTGGCATTTCCTTGAAGTGATTTGAGTGGTCGGGGGGACTTGTTTTCCACTTTGGCATGACGTAGTGTGTCAAGGGTTTCAGGTTGCCATGTTTGGCTTTGGTTGCCCGAATTCGCAACTGGGTGTGCCTTTTTGGCGCACCCTGTTTTGGGCTGCAGGGAAACCGAAAGGATAGCGCCTGTGTTTTCGGGTCTCAACCCGTCCCGCCAGGGACGCCAGTGCTTGGCCACGGCTCACGGCTTGGCGGAGAAGCAAGCGGCAGGCAGCGGCGACACGTGGGGGTTGGTGGAGCCCCAATTTAATGGAGCCCAGGAGAAGTCTCGGGGAGCTTCACATTCAATGCACAGTTTCAGGGCAGACGTGTGGAAAGGATCATGGTTGAACAAAATGGCGCTTGACTCGCCATGGAACATCGGTTTGACCACCCAACCCTCGAGAGTTCTTTGTTGTAAAGAAAAGACGCACGCCTGGCCTCGTGAGATCTGGTTGCAAGCCTTGGTCTAGGGATTCTCGTGTTTTGCACCCTTCTTTGCATAAACCAGACGTGTTTTTTCTCCGTTTTTTGGGTTGTTTTGTGTCAAGGACTTTTGGAAAGAATGGAGACGTGACCCTGGAAATGCGGATCGATTCTTACCCAGGGACTCCTGCACTCCCCTGGAGTTTTGAACGTACCCAGTGATTCCATGTACCAGGTGTTTCTCCTGGTTTCCTCTTGCCTCCGGAAGTGGCAAATGGAATCATTGCGACAGCTTGCTGTTGATTGTCAATCTGCGGAGCGTTTCAAGGGAACATCCAGCCAACCCGCCGTTCCTTCCAGGAGACGGTTGCTGCAGCTCGAGAGAGCGTGATCCAAAGCGGAGAAGCGGAGGGATTCAGATGGGCGCATGTTGACACATCCGGATGGGAGGAAAGGGATGGCCCAGGACGTGAGATCTGAGACCATGGCGACACGGGTTTGCAACCTTGATGCAGCTGACTTGCACAGGGTTCCTTTCTGCTGATCGGTGAATTTATACTGATTTGCCTGTTTCCAGGTGTTCCGAAAAACACATTGTACGGTTTTTGCGGTGGCAGATTGATGGTTCTCAATAGCTGGAGCTGTTAGGCAAGCATAAGAGTTTGAACCGCCCAGATGGGTTTTGGTAAGTGGCAAAATAGGGGGCCCCGGAAAATGGGTGGTTATGCTTTAGGTTTCCCTTCGAGACCATCACCCAAAAGTGTAATCTCAATAGCAGATGCAAAAAAAACACGTCTATGGGTCAAAACTAAACTACCAAGGGACCACAGGTTTTAGTCCGTTTTCCGACCAGGATTCTATTTGGGGTACCTATTTTTGATCCCCACATCCACACACACCCCTTTGTTCATCCCCAGCTCGAAGTTGCCCTCCAAGAGCTAAGAGCAGGCTGGCATCGAAGCTGATCGATGAAGCGGCAGGGCTTAGCTTTTCCTATTGGAAGCTGACCGAAGGTTTTGGAAGACTACTTTCCTTCGGCCTGTCCAAGCTTGAAGCATCATGCATGGGAGACCGCCATTTTGGGTGGCGCCTGTGTAGCTTGGTGGGTTTGTGGGCATTCTGTTCACGGGCTTGGGAGCCGAGGCCTTGAGATCAACCTTGAATCTTGGAACCTTTCGGACAAACTGCTATTTAGTTCAACCGCATACGCCGACATATGTTTCTGGGTGAATTATAACGACCTCACACGACCGAATTCACCCCAAATGTTGGTTTCTGTGGGGAATATCCCTCTAGACGATGTTTGAGGCCTGGGCCTGTCAAGCCACCAGCCTTTTTTTGTAGGCTGGTCTCTTCGACCAACCTAGTCATGTTCAGTTGACAGGACTTCGGGTGTCCGCAACCTTCTTGAAGCCAAAGAACTTTATTCCTTCACATCCCTTGTCGCGGCAATCACTTCCGTAATCGTGAACACCTCAAAGGTCACAGGCCCCAAAGCAATGGCTTGTGTTTCATGACCGGTATCCTTAGCCTTCCCAAGACCGGAGTTACATGTGTCCCACTTTTGCGTCGGGGACACGACCCACATTTCACAAGAGACCGCTGAGTGTCTGAGGTCAGTGTCGCTCTTTTCCCGCAGCCACAGGCGCTCTTGGAGGGCGGGTTCTAGCAAGGAATCCCTTTCAAAGGTGGAGAGATCATATTGTGTTTGAAAGGATCTTGGCAACTCACAGCGATCCCTACGAGTTTGCGACCAATTCCACAAATCTATTTCTTGAATTGGTACTCACAAGCGTGAGCTTCGCAGTCCCAAGCTTATATGCCCACTTTTCGGCTTCCCTTAAAGGGGCCCGTTTTGCGTTTGGTGACTTCGGCCCAGCAGCCGCAGCTCCGGACGCCATGGCGGAGAAATCGAAGGCATCGAATGAGCCGTGGAGCCCGAGCTGCCTCAATGACTTCTGGAGCCTGCTGGGCTGTGAGGATGAGAAGCTAAAGCAGCTCCTGAGCCGAAGGAGGTGTCAGGCTTTGGGGCTTAGAGGTCATAGGCAGGGTTTGCCTTTTCCACTGAAATGAAAAAGGCCTCAGGGTCTGTAAACTACCACTGTTTCGGCTGGGTATTTATCCCACCTGAAATGAATGGCCTCCCTTGAAAAGGGTTTCTAAACTGCCAGGGGGGCTGGTTATTTAGGGCCAACCAGAAAGCTTCAAAGGAATCCTTGGATCAGGTGCCAAGAATGGGCGGGTGGGGGCTGGGTTTCTGCATTTCCGAGCCGTCTGAGCATGTTTTCTCCTTGTGACCTCACTGATTCAAAGGGGGGTCGCGACCAAGCTGGAAATCATTTGGCCAGCAGTTACTAGCCAGTCAACTAAGCTGTCTAGGCTTGATGGGAACCCAAACCCTTGCTTGATGTTGCTCCAGGGCCGCAAACCCCTTTTGCGAGGGCCTCCGCCGGAGTCAGCCAGGCTGATTAGTCCGGGTCACATGACAAGCCACGGTGAAATTTTCTCCTGCCTCCGCTAGCAAAGCCACTTGGTGATTGGTGAGTCACTTCCCCTTCGTTTCTGTACTTAACAGGAAAGGACCCCTAAAACTTCTACCAGAGGAGTGGGCTCCATTGGCAAACGAAGAGTTTCATTTGCTTAAGAATACTTCTTAAATTCCCTTGTTGGTTTTAGAAGGAATTTATCACTACTGGACATTTTTTTCTCCAGGGGTCTTAACCAAATGGAAGACGAGTTTCATTTGAAACCATCCCAAAGGCATATTCCGCGCGCGCACGAGTGGCTCGGCGTGGTCTTTTAGCTTCACTTTGGAGCCTTTCATGGGTGATTTCATGAATCACAAACCAAAAAAGTTCCCCAAGGAAGCTTCATCTTGTCACAGGCTTCCGGGCTGTGTTCTCCCCCAAATTGGGTTGCACCTCAAACTAAGTCAACTGGGGGCTTTACAAATCAACTTGGTTAGTACGTCTAGTTGCCCGAGTTACAAGACCCATTCTTTTAAAAGCGTGTCAACGATGAACCCATGGTTATGGAAATCGGGTTTAGGGGCCACTCTCGCGGAATTATCATGACGTTTGGGCTGAAGCTGATGCTGTTGACAGCGATAAAAAGCTATTTGAACAAATATCACTCTCGGCCAAGTTGGCAACTTGCCCGCGTCCGGAACCTCCACCGAAACATGTCTTTGGGCACAGCCTTCCAGGCTAAACTTTGGTGCATTTTGGACTTTAACTTTTTGCCAACTAGTGGGTTTTCCATTAAACCACTAAAAGTTAAACTTTTAGCAGGGGAGCAGAAAGCAACCGAGTAAAGCTCAACCCGGCCAATTGTAAAAGTTAACAGTGATTATATAATACATCTGATCTGGTGGACTCCCCCTGGTGATCTGGAGTTTCTCTGTGGGTTTGTCGTCTCCCTAAAGCCTGAGACCATGGGTTGATCAATCAACTGGGCCCACATAAAGTGGCACTGAGCCCTGTTGATTCTATGCAGCCCCAGGGTGACCAATGCATTTTGCTATTACAGAAAGGGGCAACTTCAAATAGTCTTGATTGAGGAATGCAACCCATCCGGGGAGCAAAGGGGGTTTCTCAACCGCATTCCAGAACCTCCCAACCATTGCCCACATTTCCCCAACCAGGAAAGAGCCAGACATCTTAGAGTACTGAGAGCGACCCTAATGTTTCTGACCCAGATTCCCCACTCAACCATGGATTCTTTGGGAATGCATTGGGGTCCTGCAAAACGGAGTAGAAACCAATTGCCCAGAAAGGGGGTTAGCGGGCAGAGCACTTTTTTTCCCGTAGAGCTCAAGTCTTAAGTGAGAAAAAGGGGGAAGAAGGGGGGGAAAGGAGGTAACGAGAAAGCGGCCGGGCACGGGTTGACCAAAAAGGGGCGGGTGGACTGGCTCCCCAACTAACCAAAGGGCACTTCCCTTTTTAGGTCCCTTGAAATATCGTCTTTGAGGTCTTTGTCCCGGTATGTGCACGAGGGGGTTGTTGGGAGTAGGTTTGACCATTCGCCCCTTGTGAGCTGTGCACTTTCATTTTGCCGGTTCTCAGGCAACGGACAAATTGCCCGCAACTAAACCATCCCTTGTGGTTTGAGGGATCAGTCCCCAAAAGTCCCTTGGTGATTCCGCACTGACCAGCTGGTCTCATGGGCGTTCAACCCTGCGATTTCCCTTGGTTTTTCGGCCTCTCAGGATCCGGAGGGAAAGGAGGCTGGACCTGCTTCAGGCAGGAGTTCAGATATCCGGGGCTCAAGGACTCCGAGAATGAAGGGCTTGGTGTGGTTGTTCTGGGACCAAATCAGGCAAAGAACGGCAACTTGGGTCATTGCGGAAACTTGGGGGGGCCAATTAGGTTCGAGAGGGGGCTCTGTGGTCAGGGCAAGTTGAGGGGCGAACAACCTTGCACAGACGGCGTTTGTCTCCAAAGGGAACTCAACAGGCAAAACCACACTTAATCTTGGGTTTTCAAGTCCCCCCGCATTCGCGAGGCATCGTACGTTTGACCCCCCCCCGAAAAAAAAAGCAAGAAGAAGCCACTGCCGGTTCTTCAATTCTTCACAGAAATCAGCACCCTCTCCAAAACTGGATGCCGGAGAAAAATAACAAGAAACAAAAAACAATCACGGGGGAAACACACACACACACAAAAAACAAAAACAAAAAAACAAAACACGGACGACGCCAAAGTACAGCTCCAGACCAGCCTTCCGCATGCGCGTCGCGCGCCAGTCCCTGCGCCGGGCGAGCTCCAAGCAGGCGATGGGGCGATGGGGCGATGGGGCGATGGTTATTGGATCCGCTTTGTTTCTCCTTTTTTTTGCCCCCTTCTGAGACAGACGTCTTTTCTTGGGGGGGAGGGGACACCAAACACCCCAACTCTTTTTTTCCATTTTCTTTTCAGACGTCTTTTTTTTGGTGGGGGGGGGGGACACCAGCAACCCCAATTGTTATTTCTTGTTTCTTCTTTTTTTTTTTTTCTTCTGAGACAGACGTCATTTCTTGGGGGGAGGGGACACCAAAACCCCCAACTCTTTTTTTCCTTTTTCTTTTCAGACGTCTTTTTTTTGTGGGGGGGGACACCAGCAACCCCAATTGTTATTTCTTGTTTCTTCTTTTTTTTTTTTCCTTCTGAGACAGACGTCTTTTCTTGGGGGGGAGGGGACACCAAAAACCCCAACTCTTTTTTCCTTTTTCTTTTCAGACGTCTTTTTTTTTGTGGGGGGGGGGGACACCAACAACCCCAATTGTTATTTCTTGTTTCTTCTTTTTTTTTCTTCTGAGACAGACGTCTTTTCTTGGGGGGGAGGGGACACCAAACACCCCAACCCTTTTTTTCCTTTTTCTTTTCAGACGTCCTTTTTTTTGTGGGGGGGGGGGACACCAACAACCCCAATTGTTATTTCTTGTTTCTTCTTTTGTTTCCTTCTGAGACAGACGTCTTTTCTTGGGGGGGGGGAGGGGACACCAAAAACCCCAACTCTTTTTTTCCTTTTTCTTTTCAGATGTCTTTTTTTTGTGGGGGGGGGGACACCAGCAACCCCAATTGTTATTTCTTGTTTCTTCTTTTTTTTTTTTTTCCTTCTGAGACTGACGTCTTTTCTTGGGGGGGAGGGGACACCAACCACCCCAACTCTTTTTTTCCTTTTTCTTTTCAGACGTCTTTTTTTTTTGGGGGGGGACACCAACAACCCCAATTGTTATTTCTTGTTTCTTCTTTTTTTTTTTTTCCTTCTGAGACAGACGTCTTTTCTTGGGGGGGGGGGGGACACCAACAACCCCAATTGTTATTTCTTGTTTCTTATTTTTTTTTTTTTGGGGGTCCACCTTTGGGGGGGGGGTCCTGTATTTTCTTACTTCTTTTTTTGGTGGGAGGGACACCAAGAATCCACATTTTTTTGTTTCTTTGTTTTTTTTGGGGCGGGGGGTTCCACCTTTTGCGGGGGGTTCACCGTTGTGAGACGAACGTATTTTCTTGCTTTTTTTTGGTTGTGGGGGGGGAGACACCAAGAATCCACACTTTTTCTTTTTTTTTTGTGGGGGGGGGGGTTCCACCTTTGGCGCGGGGGTCCACCATTGTGAGACGAACCTGTATTTTCTTACTTGTTTTTTTGTGGGGGGGGGGGGACACCAATAATCCACATTTTTTTTTGGGGGGGGGTTCCACCTTTTGGGGGGGGGTCCACCATTGTGAGACGAACCTGTATTTTCTTACCTTTTATTTTTGGTGGGGGGGGGGACACCAAGAATCTACCTTTTTTCCCCCCCTTTTCTTCTTCTTTTTTTTTTGGGGGGGGGTTCCCCCTTTTTGGGGGGGGGGGTCCACCATTGTGAGACGAACCTGTATTTTCTCTTTTTTTGTTTGGGGGGGGGGCACGAAGAATCCACATTTTTTTCTTTTCTTTTTTTGTGGATTCCACCTTTGGGGGGGGTCCACCATTGTGAGACGAACCTGTATTTTCTTACTTGTTTTTTTTGGTGGGGGGGGGGACACCAAGAATCCATTATTATTATTATTTTATTTATTTTTTTTTGGGGGGGGTGCACCTTGTGGGGGGGGGGGTCCACCATTGTGAGACGATATTTATTTTTTTTTGTGGCGGGGGGGGGGGGTACACCAAGAATCCACCATTTTTTATTTCTTTGTTCTTTTTTTTTTGGGGAGGGGGGGGGGGGTCCACCTTTTGGGGGGGGGGTCCACCATTGTGAGACGAACCTGTGTTGTCTTACTTCTTTTTCTTTTTTTGTCGGGGGGGGGGACACCAAGAATCCACCATTTTTATGTCTTTTTTGTTTTGTCCTTTTTTTTTGGGGGGGGGTCCACCTTTTGGGGGGGTTCACCATTGTGAGACGAACCTGTATTTTATTATTTCTTTTTCTTTAAATTGTGGGGGGGAGACACCAAGAGTCCACACTTGTTTTTTTTTTGGGGGTGTTCCACCTTGGGGGGGGGGTTCACCATTGTGAGACGAACCTGTATTTTCTTACCTTTTATTTTTGGTTGGGGGGGACACCAAGAATCCACACTTTTTATGTTATTTTCATTTTTGTTTGGGGAGGGGAGGGGGTTCGACCTTTTGGGGCGGGGGGTCCACCATTGTGAGACGTGACGAACCTGTATTTTCTTTTTCTGTTTTTTTTGGCGTCGGGCACCAATTTGTTGCGGATTGAAAGCAACACACACACAAACCACCATTTCAGCGTCCCCAAAAAGGACACACCCATATTGCCAGTTTTTTCATTTGGGGGCCCGCGCAAAAATGATTGGACGCAAATACCCAAATACCTATGTACACTCCCACCAAGAAAGTAGCAACACAGATAGCGAACAGAGTTTAAGTTGTGGAAGTTTGCAAAGAAGTGGCAAAAAAAAGCATAGAAGTGAATGGGCAAACAACAGGAAGAACCGAGACGGACCAAGGCCGGGAGCAGAGAACAAAGGCTACAGTAGTTCTTTTCATTTCGGCCAGATTTCCCCTTTCAGCACGTTTCAGCAGCACCCTTTGCGCCACTTCTGGATGAGTTTGTTGGTGAAACGTTGAAGGGGGAAATCTAGTGAGCCTTTTTTCAGATCAACCTAACAACTCCGTCTGGCACACCCAGAGTTGGCGTACGTCCTGCTACTCACAAAGAAACAAAACCGGCTCAGCCAGCGTCTGGGGCTATCGCTTCGGCAACCGAGTCTCAGACTCAGGCTTGCATGGGTTCTGGGATATAGCGTGCCTTGTGCCTTGACAGGTTTGCTTTTCCTGACTTTGCAGAGAGAGAGAGAGCGTCTGAGTGGTGCTTTCCATGTGCCTCTATTTCCTCGAGCTATGAGGGGCATCTGTGATTTGGCGAAGCTGACTCGGCTGGGCACATCTGGGACGTACTATGACAGCAAGGGCGCGCAAGTTTTTGACCCTTGAGCAGTGCAAGAAGCTGGTTTCTAAGCTGGAGGCGCAGCAAAGAGGCTTGAGAAAGTATAAGTGGCGAAGAGCGGACTGTAAAGAGCATCCGGGGCAGTTTGCATCATCATTAATTTAAATCCTTACGTTATCAACTATCTTAAATTCTTGGTTATCCTTTCTTGTTATTTTTGTGCTCACCATACTTCCAGCCCTCCACGTTGACGACTATGGAGCAATTCAACTGCCACTTGGCTGTGGGTCAACACCAATGGTACATCTTGGGGTAGGTGCACCACCCGTTTTAGTCTATTTTGGTGGGATTGGGATGTTCACTGGGGGCACGCTTTGGATTCTGACCCATGGCCGCTCGTCATTTTCACTCTTGCTTCGGTCGCCCACCCCATACCCCTCGTAGGGAAACCACCTCCCGGTGTGACCCCGACAGCCCTCAAAAATAAACAGCCAGTGTCCTTGAGTCGAGGGGTCCGAAGATGTGTCCAACCAAACATCAAGAGGAAGCTGACTGTAAGTTGGCAAAAGGTACGGGGTGGGATTGTTTGTTTGTTTGTTTGTCCTCTTGTGCTTCCGCTCACGTTTTTACTTCCAACCCCCGCATCCCCAAACACAACCAGCATGGCAGAAGGCTTGGGGAAGTCGAGTTGGAACCCGGATTTGGTCAGGCCCGTGAGAACGAAGTTCTTCCCCAACTTGGCCTGCAAACCAATGACCCGTACCAGCCGATGCTTTTGGGGAAGTAAGTCGCACTAAAGTAAAGCTGCGCGTGCAGGCTTCTCGATTTTCTGACCTTGAACACAAGCAACAATAAGCCAGCCTCAATCCAAAACAAGAAAACGGCCCCAACAGGCTTAGGAGGGGGCATTTTCATGAATCAGGTTTGCGACTGAGAGTCAGTTCATGGGGGACTACCTAATGAACTGGCCGATCTGCTTTATAGGAATAGAGAGGGGAGTATCCAAACGTTGTTGAAAATGATTCCGTAATCCTGATGGCAGATGGAAGCGGTTTTCCTTCTTGTAGTGGTGTTTTCCACTTCGAATCACGGATCAAGATTAGGGGGTTCACCACCGACTTTGAGCAACCCAGATTGGTGGTTGTGAGTGGTTTGGGGAGGCAATCTGATCACCAACGCTGCCAATTCTGCGCAAGCAAGCACCAGCAAGCGCAAGCAAGCCAGGCAAGCCGGCAAGCAGGCAAGCAGGCAAGCACAGGCAAGCGCAGGCAAGCACAGGCAAGCACAGGCAAGCACAGGCAAGCACAGGCAAGCACAGGCAAGCACAGGCAAGCACAGGCAAGCACAGGCAAGCACAGGCAAGCACAGGCAAGCACAGGCAAGCACAGGCAAGCAGGCAAGCGGGCAAGCATGTAAGCAGGCAAGCAGGCAAGCAGGCAAGCAGGTAAGCGTGCAAGCAAGCAAGCAGGCGCGTTTCTTGGCGTCCATACTAGTCGGACCGACTGTGCGAAAGAGGGGGCCCCGCATCCCAATTTGAGTTGACACACCCATTGTTTCGCCCCTTTGCTTTTTCCAGCCCAGATCTCCAGTGGCGTATTTCCGTTTTTCCTTTCCAATGGGAGTGGGTTTCCTTTCAAACTCAGTAAGGCTCGGTACTCTTTTCACCTTGGTTAGGGAGGAACCCCAAAAGGAAACCCATGCATTGGTTGTGTAGCCGATGCTTTTTGGTGTCCAAGTCCCAACTTTTTTGCCACGCCCCTTGGCAACGGCCACATGCCAGGCCTGTGACAGCCCAACCGAAGAGGTGTCTCGGATCCGCAAATGTTCGTTTGGGTTCCCGTTTCTGGCCCTGGTGCGATAGGTAGGGAATGAGAAGTGGAAGGAAGCCATTCCCCTAAAGGAAGCCATGGGAAAAATGGTTTGTAGGGGTCATCCAGCAAGAGAAATGATGACCCCCTACAAAATTCAGTTAAAGGAGCCATGGGAAATGGATGGGTTTTCTGGGGCTTCGAGGACGCATTTTCTACACACCCATCAAAACTGATCGGCGTAGATCCCGACGTGATGTACATTGAAGGGGACCCCGAAGGTCACTCCCAGAATCCTTTTGGAAGACTTGGTTTCGTCAGTAACCTTTGGGGAGCTTCCATGTGAGATGTATGGCTTCCACCCCCAAGGAAGTCTTTTCTTGCATTCGCAGTGCCTGTTTGCTGTCTGCTATGGAGGCACCTACTACCGATATTTTCCAAACTTACTATGTGGGACAGCAGAAACATCAGAATGATATTGTGATCACGAAAGCTAGCTGTGCTAGCGGAGTTCTCTAAGCATTAGCTTCAGGGGCTCAGCTTAGGGGCCCCTAACAAGCCTGATTCGCAAGAACAAATCCTTACCTAGCTACCTAAAACACTTCCCCCCCCCACCCAGGGCTCGATTCCCCCTTGTCCGACCCCAGCACGAGCGTATTCCTAGAATCTCGTCCACATGTTTGCAGCTGTGTTTTTCTAGACGTTTCTAGTCATGTCCGTGGCCCTAAAAAACTGCAGCCTTGACCCCAAAAACCCATACCCTGAAGACGCCTACAACACCTGCTTGCTCTCGCAGTCAGCTACAAGTTGCAGGGTTATTGGGGTCGTTCCGTTCCTGCAAACCAGAAACAACACAGAATACTGTGGATGGACGAAATCCTGGACCACTGTGAAACCATGGTTGAAACCATTGTTTGTTGGTATTTACAGGGGAATCGACTCATTCCGTTGGGTTTCTGTGCGAAATGGATGTCGCAAACCATCCACAAAATGGGGCACTTCCGTTCAGAAACCCTGGTTTCTGAGCAGATTCCCCTGTTAATTCCAACAAACGCTATGGTTTCAACCATGGTTTCACAGTGCAGACTAGAGCCCCGGGTGTTTTTGAGAGGAGCCTCAAGCTTCCAGGACCAGCGCCTCCGCTCCTTCTGCTGCCAGCGCCGGCGTCGGAAGGCTTCGCCGCCCAAAGCGAGGCGGGGCTCGGGGTTCGGGTTTCGGTCGTGGGCGCAAGGGGGGGGTCTTGTGGTTGCGGGTTGCGGACGGATGGGAAGTCTTTTTTTTGTTTATTATCTTAGAAGGAGAGAAACAAGTCAGGCTTGTGGTTGACCACTCGCGGTTGATCCAACCACTTCTGTGATACAAGTTGGAATCTCCTCCCTTTTCTGGGGTGGCGTTTCTTCCGCTCAAGGACGCCAGCCGCGTTTTGCGGTCGCACTTTGCTGGCCATGTGCGGATTGTCTCAGAACTGATCGCGGTTTCTGAGCGAAGGCGCCCACTCCTGTATTCACCAGGTGTTTCTCATGGGATCCGGACGGACCCCCAACACCAGGACCCCGAACTCCAATGGAAGTCAGAGGGGTTGCTCGAAAGGACGATGGCCAGTTCCAACTCCAAGTTTCAAAGCTCGGAAGCCGGGGTCTTTCGTTTGGGGGAGCATCCCATGGACGCTTAAGTAGCTACAAGCATAGTTAGGAGAATGGTTATAAGTTATAACCTACTCAGTGGATTGCCCGAACCCTTTCCCTCCCCGAACCGCTTGTTCAAAGGGGAAGACATCAGCGGGGTGGGGGGGGCTGTAGGGTCCCCATGTGAGGATTCCTCGCGTGAGGCCGGATGCGGCGGCCACGCCCTGGGTCTGGAACCCCAAGCCGGAGGAGGACGAGCGCCTGGCTCGGCGGGGGGAAGGGAACGACGTTTCTAGGGTGCCTCGGTTTGGTTAGGGAAACCGGCAGGACACCCGTGGAAAAGGGTAACCTGCGGGAAACCCATGGAAACCAGCAGGACACCTGTTTGTTCGTTTGTTAGATTTGGTTACCCTGGTTTGGTTGGTGTGGCTTGTTTTGTCTTGACTTGTTTGATTTGTGTGTTTGCCTTTTTTCGAGACAGTCCAAGTGTCAGGCTTTACCTCCCGTTTCCGCGGTTCAGAGTTACTTCTCCGCTTTTAGACCAGCGTAGTTGGTTGTTTCGGTGTTCGGGTGGGACAGGCGCCGCATTCCAGAGGGTAACCAAGGATTCCCATCCGTTTTCCTTTTGATAGCCTTTTCGGGAAAATCACAATCCATTATCTATCGTTTTTGACCCTCCCACTTCAAAGCAAACAACCCAGACAAACATGGCGCTGTTTTTTCATGACTTGGACACGTGTTCGAGTGGAGTTTTGGCTTGTGTGTGAGTTTTAGTTTCTTTGGGTTTCCCAAACAGAAAGCAAACGACACTCCTTTTGTCTGTTTTTGGTGTTGTTTCTTCTACTTGGGTATGTGCCAAAATAGGGGGACCACGGCAACATGGCGGCATTTTGTTTTCGTTTCGCTTTCAGCCAGCCTCAGAAGAGCCACAATCAAAACCCGGGTAGAGGAAGGTTAGCAAGGGGCAGTCGCCGGAAAGCCGCCTTTCCAATTCTTGAAGCATGGCTCTGGGATTACAACCATTTCAGTGCCGGGTTTTGATTGTGACTCAGGGACCAAACTTAGGGTACCCCCATATGATTCCTCATGTTTTTTTTAAGGGGGGGTGCCTTTATAGGGTTCCCCAAGTTTTTTTGGGGTTCCTCCACAGGCTTCCCAATGTGCTTTGTTTCTGGGCCCGGTTCCCCCATAGGGTTCCCCATTTTTGGTACCAGTTCTTGGGTTTTGTGAGACTCGTAAAAGGCGCAGGTTTGCTTTTGCGGATGTACGAAATCCATTTCGGATCACCTAAGAAACCACGGTTGAAACCATCGTTTGTTGGTATTCACAGAATCCTCAGAAACCAGGGTTTCTGAACGGAGGTGCGAGAAGCGGATTTCGCAACCCTCCACATGTTTGGCCGAGACGTGCTCGGCCTGGATAGTGATCCGAGGCTGGCGCTGGAGTGGAAGATCGTGGAGCACGAGCTGGACGCGGAGTCTCTGCGGCGGCTCAGGGAGTTCCGGCAGGTGGGCGGAGGGGGGGCTTCTGGGCAGGAGCGGGAGGAGCGGGAGGGGGGTGAGGTGGGGAGGCGGGAGGTGAGGAGGTGGGGAGGTGTGGTTGATTTCTACACAGGAAGGGCTGGGGGAGGTCACAGGAGGGAGCTGACAAAGGCAACTGGGGAAAGGTGGGGGAAAGGGGCGCAAGTTTCTCGGCCTTCCATTTGCAGCTTTGTTTTGAACTCCGGTTTATGAAGATGGTTAGCCTCCACCAACCAAGTGTTTGACAGGCTTTTCATTGGCAGGTTCCTTCCTCAAGTTAGTTAAGGGGCCAATCACTTCTCAACTTTTCAGTGGCCTTTTGTCCACTCTTTTTTTTGTGTTGCATGGGTTGCTTTCTGGGCTGAAGCACTACCACACACCGAACCCTTCCAAAAGGTGCACATATTTTGCCGGCCCTTTTGGGTGGCAACATCTTCTTGGCCTCTTGATTCATTGAGGGCTCGCCTCTGCTTCTTTTTGGGGGGGGGGTGGGGGTTGGGGTGGGGTGGGCAGAAGCACCTTGCTTCCTGGACAAGGTGAAGACATCAAGGCCTGCCAAAACAAGAGCTCTTTTGGGGAGAGACGGGTAAAGAGGAGCAACACCCACCGTGGGGACGGGTTTGCTTGCCACCAAAACCCAGGGCGCTCCAGGTCTCCTGCGCAGAGAGAGGATTTTCTGAAGCGCGGGCAGTCCGCTTGCGAAGATCATTTTGCCCTTTTTCCCAACCTTATGTGACTTATGTGTACATTCGTTTGTGGTGGCACGTTGCAAACATCGGAGGGTGCCATGACCCAGGACCCAGTGGTGAGCTTCAGGAATCCCCCTCAAAGATGGGTGGCGACGCAGCACCCATGCAATTGACGTCAACCAGAGAGTTCCAACTTGAAGCTCACATATGGCCGTGGGTCAGCACCAATGGGATCCCATTTTGGTTGGTAGGTGAATTCACCACCCATTTTAGAACCTGTTTTAGTGGGGATTGGGATGTTCACTGGGGGTACGCATTCCCCCGCACACAAGGTCCGCAAGACACCAGTGGCTCAAGGATGGCTGGTGTTCAAAGGGGAAAGAATACAAGACCAACCACTCTTCCACAGGATGCAAAACTCACTTTTGGCCTCCAATGCCGGGGAGGGGGTGGGTGGGTGGTTGGGATTTTGGAGGTCCAAAGAGGCGCTTTCTTTGTTCAACCCACCGACCAGTGCTTGTACGTGGAACAACTGCGGTTAGTCCCCATACCGAAATCGATGGCGCAGTTCCCTTGAACATGACTAAGCCCCAAATTGGGGAATAGTAGCATCTTTCACCCGCTCAAAATTGAACAGGAGGGGCAAACCGCAAGTTTTGGTCCATGTTTCCACTTACCAGGGCAAGCCATTTTGGAATTCCGGTTTTTTGAGCCACAGCCAAGTGGGCAAGGACCATTTCAGGACCTTCTGGACGAAGCTCAAGGGAAGTCGCCTCAGTTCGAGGCACAATCATGGTAGCCTCATGTTACACACTAAGTGGGTACTTGGGTATGACATGGGTTTAACATAGGCATAGCATGGGTGTAACATGTGTATAACATGGTTGTAACATGGGTGTAACATGGGTTTTACATGGGTTTAACATGGGTTTAACATGGGTTTAACATGAGTTCAACATGGAGGTACAGCCTATTTCCGGCCACCTAGCCCCTTGCTCGCGCTTGCTCGCAGGCCGTGGCCGCGGCGGGGCTGGACGCCCACGAGGCCTGCTGCAAGGCGCCGATTGCGCAGCGCCCGGGCACGCTGCTGCGGTACCTGCGGGCGCGGAACTGGGACTTGGCGCCCGGAAGCCCAGGCGAAGGGCCAATCGGAGCGGGGGGTGGAGCGCGGGGAGAGAGGCGCGGAGGGTCGAAATCTTTGGCCTCAAAAAGGGCTCAAGGGAGTGAGGGGAAAGCCCAAAGCGGTTTCGAGGGTCTATTTTGAGAAACCGCGTATGCGAGAATAAGGGGACCTGTTTGGGATGGTAGGCAAAGGTGTGTTTTTCTTGGAGTTGGTAGTTGAAACGATGGGCCCCCTTTTCTGGTTTGTATTAACTAAGCATTTTAGGGGACCCATTCTTATTCACGAAGCAGTTTGGGTCTCCCGTTTTGAAGCCCAGTTCTTTTTTGCGACCACCTTCTCTTTCTGCACCGAATCCCCAGAAAAATAAACAATGTCCTTGAAATGAGAAAACTTAAAACAACAACGACAAAAGCAAAGAAACATAGGTGGACTCGAATTGCCATTGACCTGCGAGAGCACACGGGAGGGGTGAGTACCATGATGCCTTCTCATTTCGTGACTGGTCCTGACAGCTTTGCCTTCAGAAAAAAAAACAAAAACATATTTATATAGCGGTTTCAAGCTATGATTTGATCATACCTTTGTTGTGACATCTGACGCTGCATGAAAAAACGACGTCTCTGCCATTTGGACGGGAGCCGTTTTGTTTTTCCCAAACAGCAGCCGGGAAGCCAGAGGTCTTTGAGTCCAATTATTTTGTCTGAGCAAAACTAAACGGCGTCAGCGGGAGCGTTTGCAACGTCACCCGTGATGATGATTTCTTTCACAGGGATTCCTTGTCTCCGGTTGGCGAAGCTTAACATAATTTGCACAGATATGTTATATTTGGTTGAGTAAGTATTAAACGGATATCAACATATAACTGTGGCTAAGAAAGGTACCGACATGGCACCTTGGTAAATGGAACCAAAGACTATCAGCGGTAACCCTAGTTGATTTTCTTGAGCCACACTCATGCCAGTTTTTGTGTATGTTTGTTTCCTTTTTCTGTGACTTGCTGGCTCGACAGGTAGGGAAGGAATATCAACAATCATCATCGATATGGGAATGGTTTGAGGGGTTTCGGGAATGTACCGTTTGGTATCCCTGTAAAGCAAAACACAAGGGATGGTGGGTGGGTCTCTCATTCGCTGAGAACCAGCAAGGTGAGAAAGAAGAGATCCTGATGATTCCATAATGAAGAATTGGGCCTTCTTGACCCAAAGGGAATAGGCATTTTCTGGGATCTTAGAAAACACATTTTGTATTTAAGCTTGACCAAATATGAAACAGGACTCGAGGATATTTCTGGTGTACCCAAGTTTTAGGCAGGGATGTATTCAAGTTGCACTGCACTGATGAGGATTTCCTTACTTGGCTGGAAGATGGTGCGGTTCTCCCATTGGTGTGTCGTTTTCGAAGGTGCCTTTTTTAAACATAAAGGAAAACCACTAAGTTTGGGGGTCCCCCCAAAAAGGACACACCCAAATGAGAACCGGCAAGCCATTCTCTCTCGAGTGTAAGTGTTCCCCTACTCACTTCTCGCCGGGCTTTTCCACCAAAGGCAACAGGGTTCCCTGTATTTCCCGATTTGGGTCGGTTTAAGCATCTCTTTTCGGCCCAGAGGCGAGTTTTCCCTTGGAGGTGATGAACCAACGGCCCCCCGCTCGCTTCCGCCGCGCTTCCGAGGGCGGCCACCAAGATGCTGCAGGACGCCCTCGACTGGCGCAGGGCCCGGCACTTGGATCTTCGCACTCGGTGCGCGTGCGTGAGGCGGCGAGGCGGCGAGCTGTCTGGGTGAAAGGCGTTTGTTTGTTTTTCGAGCGCCGGGGCCAGCCCGCGAGCTTTTTTTTTTTGCGATCCCTTTCCCAACTTGTTTGTTTTTGGCAAACCTGGTTTGTGACCTGCATGTCGGCTTTTGGTTTTAGGCCCAAATAACAAGGGGTGGGTCTTAGAAAGGGGGGGCTGAAGATATCAGAACCCCGCTTGCGAACTTGTATTGTGTCTCCGAATGGGATATAGAGGCTTAATAAAATGGGTAGTTTCTGGCTTGCCTTTGAAGCAACCCTAACGAGAGTACCCACCAATAAATGATCATTTTCGGGGAGTTTTTTAGGGAGTTCGCCTGGCGGGGTTTGGGATGCCCCTTGCTTGAGACCCTCACGAGCATTCGGTTTGCTCTGCCTGCTGACACAGGAGACCAAACGCCCACAGAAAACTCGAGGCTCGGAGGCATCCTTGAACTCCGGCTCCGATCGAGTCAAATGGGAGCCACCCTGACACCTAGGTGTGAGAGCTCGCATGTCAACGTGTCATACGACACTCCGAATCGGCGACATTTGAGACTCGACATTCCCGCCTTCGGCGAGTCCCAACGCGCACTACCCTTGCTCATCGGCATGAAGGACTGGCTGGCAAGGTTGCTTGGCGAGAGTCTCACTCTGAAAGGAGTTCAGGCTCATGCTGCGCTTGGCGATGCGGGCCCTTGTCGCCTGCCACTTGTGGCCTGCGAGCCGTTGGCTGACCCGGCCGAAGGCTTGGCTTGCGAGTGTCGCAAGCTCTGTGTCAACAGGCCAGCGCAGTTGCGCCTAGACCCTTTGCATGTGGTGGCGAATCAGGTGTTTCTGTTCAACCATGTCACATATTATTATTACTTTTTGCCGGGCCCTTCGCGCTAGGCCAACTCCTATGCCAATGGATTTTTTGGGCTCTTGGGCGGAAAAAATCCGAACCAAATGGTGGCTGCATCAGAATTTGGATGACCCTGGGCTCAGAAATGCTCGAAGGATCACCCATCCTAAAACAAATCTGGGTGTCCCCCCCAACAAAGGCACGGATTCGAAAGTGAAGCCAAAAAACACCCAACCCTTTCTAGGCACCCACCCCTCAAAGTTCCGAAGCCAAAGCAAAATAACGGAAACAGGCCGATCCCATTTTGCTGGTGTCGGGGGCAAACGCAAAGAAAACTGTGTGAGGTTCTTTAAAGTGCTTTTGGCTTCAAGAGTGTTTCTCTGAACCTTGGCCCAAGTGGGCGCCCGAAGTGGAAAAGAAACGTCCTAACCCCATTCCCATGTCCCTTCTTGGGTGTCCCTTGATTTCCAAGCGTGTGGAATGTTGCACGGCTCCTTGGTTCAAGGGCACTCACAAAGGGCCCTGAACCCTCTAGGGCTGACACCGCCTCACTTCGGTCATTTCTATGGTCCGATTTGGTGTCGCTTTGGAGGCCTCTTTTATGGGGGGTTCTGCCATCTGCTCCGAGCCAGCATCACATGTAGCTTTCTCACCAGGAGCACCTAATCATACATGCTTTAGTTTTGTCTCAACATGGCAGACCCCAGAACCCCAAAATAGGTGACTTTCTGGTTTGGTTTACGTGTGTAACAGTTCCATCAAACAAAGAAATGCCTGTTTACCCTTTCGAGATGCCTGTTTCATGGTTGTTGTTGGGAAACATTTTACATGTTTGCTTATTGTGGTTTAGTGGTTGAAATCCAAATCCACAAAAACCGCCAACAAATTGCGATTTTTGCTCCCCTTCCGACGTCAACCAAGGCTTTTCCCCCTAGAACTCCGGTTTCGCCGTGGCTGGTTGGCTCACTGGATCTGGACCGAGGATTTCCGGCTAGATGAGAAGCTGGACGCCGGAGTCCCAGGGTCCCAGATGAGGCCTCAACCCGCGAGTCTTTTCTCCTTCAGGGGAGCTACAAACCATTTCTACGACTCAATCCACGAACTTCGCATGGTTTTTTCCTAGGGAGCTGGGAAAAAGGAATGAAAAGGGAAACATTTTTCAGATAGAGCTACCTGTTGGAAAGGCCGATTTCAAGAGAGTTTGTTTTGGGGCGATGATTGAAGGGGAACGTCTAAAAAGCTCTGGAATCGCGCGAGAGGAGCTGTGCCCTTGCTCCCGTGACACCTCATATGTTCGGAGGAAGCGGGTTCTAGAAAAGAATGGGGGCCCGTTCAAGAGGCTTTTCAACATTGTCCTGCAAATCGAACCTCACAAGTCGCCATTGACATTCCAACTTTGCTGGTGTCCGGCATATACGTCTATTTCCCCTGGTCGTTTCTTTTGGAACCTGTGGGGCGGCAAAACAGTATTTCTATATACATATACACATGAATAAAATGACATGTACTGTACTGTGCCACAATGTACAGTACTGTAATGTAAGATAATGTAGCTTTGTTGCATTCTGCTTGGATGTTAGGACTTTTACTTTTTGCCAACTAGTGGGTTTTCCGTGTTAAACCACTAAAAGTTCTTCACTTTTAGCAGGGGCTCGCAGAAAGCAACCGAGGTAGCGTAATGTAATGTAACCAGATCGTCTGCCATCTGCTGACTTGGCGATTTCTACAAAGGAGAAGGACCTCAGCGATGAGGCCGCCTTTCGGGTTTCGGGTTGCTCAAACGTTGAATGCACCTGGACGCCCTAAAAAACGCCGGGCATTTGATGGTCTCAAAGGACATAGGGTTGGTTTCTTTTAAAACCCTTGGCCCCCTGAAAAACGCCAGGTATTTGAGTCTTTTTTAAAAACTAGGCTTGATCGTGACTCCACCTAAAGGACTGACTGCGGCCATGTGGAGTATTTCATTTACCAGCTCAAAGACGAGGACCTTTTTGTGACACAGGAAGCACGTGGGCTCCGTGGGCATCTTGTGAGACTGAACACAGCACTGTACTGTACATCTGTCGCATCTGTCAAACAAAAACCACGACCAAGCTTGGGGTCAACTGGTTTTGGGGACTTCTTGTGAAGGTCTTTTTCGCAGATACCCTGCAAAGATTTGGCCATTGCCCCAGTGAGTGAGGGAATACCCCTATGAACTGTCCCGTTTCCTTCAAGTGGATCCAAACAGTATATTCCCAAAGAACAGAACCATGATTCCCTAGAAGAACCAGCAAGCTATTGGTACCATACGGCGAACCCATTGGTAGAGGAATCTCAGCCAAAAAACAACTGTTGGTAGAGTCTCCTCATTCGACCCCCCCCTTTTTGGGAACACCATGTTGATGCACTGTTGGATTCATTCGCCTATAGGCATCACACCGCGAATCAAACGGGGTTTTGGGAAGGAACCGTTTGGGATCCCCTTAAAAAGGACACCACAAGGGATGGTTCAGTTAGAGGTCATTCCCTCATTCCCTGAAAGGCAGCAAGATGGGTATCACCTGGCAAACTTGGTTAAATGTTCACCACCTTCAAAAAACTGAATCCCAGCTCAACCTCCCAGTCAGCCCAGCTTGTACATTTCCATGTTCTGGAAAGTTCCCGGCGGTGTCTCCAAAAACCGCACGCAAAGGGTACCTGACATGGGCAACATCCTGACGTGGGTTTCCGGCGCTTCCGGGGGTTTCCGGCGCTTCTTGGTGGTTTCAGGCCTGGCGCGCAGAGTGGCGCGACGGCTCCTCCGGAAGGGCCAGACTCTGGAGGCGGGGGAGTTTTCTCCGTGGGCGGGTTTTTGTGGGATCCGGAAACTTGCTGGTGTGAAAGGGAACGAGAAATGGCTTGAGAACCTGTTGGTTTTGGGGATTCCCGAACAAAAAAAAACCAGTTGGACGGTTTTTCTAGGGGTCATTCCGATTAGCATTTCCCGCGCACCAGCAAGCAAATCAGCAAAGGCCGACTTAAGGGTTTCCTTTCGGGGCGATGTGTTGCATTCCATTGGCTCCACCCGTATCTCTACTATATGTGGCTGGACGAAATCCTGCACCAGTTTGAAGCCATGAATAAGCATTGTTTGTTGGTATTTGCAGGGTATCATATCATTCCAGGTTTCCTTAGGTGGTGCAGGATTTCGTCCATCCACCATATGTAGCATAGCTTCCAGCTGGTGTGCTGACTACAGCAGTAGGTTGGAAATACAAGAATGTGTGCCCTTTTGTCAAGGTGCTATCAGTACCATGTTGGTACAACAACAAGTCAACAAGCGGTTCTCCTTTCATGGTTGGAACTATACCAAGAAGTAGCTTTTAGAGGGAAGCCAAGAAAGCGCATTTTCCATTCCAAAGGTGGGTTTTCCTGGGTTGGGCCGAGGTTCTCTTCAGATTACACTCTTAAGCTAAAGTAGAGCTCAGGGTTCTCAGATTGTATCGCTAGATGGAGTTCTCCGCTGGCCTGCAGGATCACGCTGAATGGGTTGACCCATGAGGTTTGTTTGGTTAGTGATCAAAGGAAGTCTAGCGAGAACTTCCATAGTACTGGAACGGATTTTTCGCTGTGCTGTCTCTGAGGAATATTTCTTCACTGCGCGTGAAAAAGCCAAGAAGAAGCTTCAAACGAAAGTGATCTGGGGAATAGACGCGGGCAGAACACGTGGGCCTTGTGCGGTTGATTCGGCCCTTCCGCCTGCCGACCACACTCCGGACTCGGTCGGCACCGATGGCGTTTGGCGGAGTTTCCAGCTCCTCCGGCGGGTCGCATTTGCATGGGGCACAGCCTTTTGCAACCATCAAGTCAGTGGCGAAGCCTCGTTGAGCTTCTGTGGGCTTGGCCATCAAAAACTGGGTGCTTCGTTTTTGGCTGCATCCCTCTGCTTTCGGGGGTCGACCTTTTCAATACCTCGGGTGGGTGTGCGTGTTCTGCACGTCGCTCGCGGAAACCTAGGGGTCGACCTTGAAAAACTCGTGTCTAAGGCTTTTGCGCTAGAATGTCTGTTGGAAGTTCAGCCTTCGAGCTGAGCATTGCGAGCTTCACGGGCGAACCATGGTCAAATCGCGTGCTAAAGGATGAAGGCTAGCAGGGGGGCATTCCCAACATCCTTGTGACCTGTAGTGTTTGAACTTACCATTTTGGGGTAGGTGCAACACCCATTTTAGGCAATTTTAGTGGTTGGATTGGGATGTTCACTGGGGGTACGATTTGGGTTTTGACCCATGGCCAACCAACTGTTTCCCCACCATTGTTTTCAGACACGTTCTTGCAGGGATTCCGCAACAAACCCGGAGTAATCGATGCCATCGCGCAGCAGCGAACTGATGCCAGGAAGTACGGCTATATCAAGTACGCGGGCCTCGATTTCGAAGGTGGGGGTGTGGGGGAGGGGGGAAGGACTGTGAGACTGTGGGTGAAAAAGCGGACGAGGTGACAAGAGCCAGGAAGGTGCCAAGGAGGAAAGGATGGCACAGGAGAAGTGGAGGAATGGGGTCGGCAAGTTACACCGGGCTATTTCAGGGCTACTTTTCCCGGGGGGGGGGGGGGTGTGGCGGGAAATCCCCCAAAGGGGTGCCCTCAAGATATTTTCTTTGGCTATTGGGTGAGTAAGTTGTCGAGTTGGTGTTTTGTTCAAAGACCCAGTAGCGTTCCCCCCCTCAGCCCTGAACACTTGCCATAATGTGCGGCCTTGCGCACGCAGGGTCCAACTGTCAATGGAATCCTCACTGTTTGGTGGCCAACATTGAATAAGTTTTTGTAAGGCGATGTTGTAGGATAATAAGCCGGAATTAGGAGAATTGAGGGAATTAGATTTTAAAAGGAGTTATTCTCTGTCGTAGAGCAGCAGCTATTATTTTTTTGCGGAGAATTAAGTCTTCCTTTTGAAGGGAATCTACGAGGAGCCCGGTTTATTTTGCCTTGGGCAAGTCCTTCTGGGAAGTGAAGTGACATGCTCGCACCCATCTCCGTCGCAAGCATCTGCGCTCGTGGCGCTCAAACTCCGTCCGCCAGTTCGCGGTAGCTTCTTGGGTTCGTTCGGAGTTCTGTTTTCGGACACAAAAATGGGTTAGGCTTACTCCAGACCCGAATGGCAACATGTTGAACCACCCTGGTTTCTTAATTTCGCCATGTTGGGACAACGCCAAATGGCATCTTGAGCACCGATTTAGCCGTTTCTTAGTTTTCAGACCTAAATCCAAATGGCTATTGAGAGTGGGGACCACCTGAACCGTGGTTGGTGGATTTCTGATCTCTGAGGTCAGTTTGATTGGGAGATAAAAGAATCCGTTCGGTTTCAGCTTGGTTCGATGGTCATTTACCAGTGGAATCCACCGATGTCCGAAAGGACACCTAGGTTCTTTCCACAGTGTTGGGTCCCGCACAAACAAGAGGCATCCAAGTGGTTCAAAAGGATATGTAGGCTCTTTACATAGTTCTGAGAACTGCGTTTAAGACGGGATATCATTACTTACAGGAGTAATTTGGAATATTCTACTTTAAGCACGCATACACCACATTGTTCTCCGATGATCATGACTTAATTTGGTTTCGAAGTAGCCCATCACCTTATTCTGATTGTTTGGGCCCTTGTGTATTACACCAAATATCGGGATGTGTCCGTTGGGGGACCCATAAACATCTCGGTCTTCCTTGTTTGCCTTTGGACCAACCTTAAACAGGGACCACCAAGAACACATGGCCATATCTTCCTATGAAGTTTAACAGGGCACCGCCTCACAAGCTAACAAGTGGTTGATGGACATGAATTCCCACCGAATTCGATGTCCACCAAGAGGTCCCTGATGAAACTTACATCCATACAAGGGTGTGTCATTCTTTAGGGAACCCCCCCCACCCCTCGTTTCTTAGGTCACCACCCCAAAAAAGGTGACTTCGTACCGAGCCTCAAACCAACAGAACACGTCTCACCCACGGGCTCGTTTTCCGCGCAACGCCTCGTTGCGCGCCTGGCAAGGTCTTCCGGTGTACCTGCACCGCACCAGCCAGTGCGACGCCAACGGATTGGTCCGCGAGGGCGGCCTCGAGGTTGGGCTTCGGGTTTCGTGCCTTTTCTTGTTGGTTCCCAGCCATCCCCTTAGTCTTTTTAGACTTTTTCCATTTAACCCACTAAAAGTCAAACTGTTCGCCCAGTTTTGTTTGCGCCCCGAAATGGGGGTTGCTTGAAAGGGAGACCTAATGAAACACACTAACCCATTTTTTCTTTGTTTTGGGCCGTAGACACACTTACCCATTTTTCCCCAACAGCTGAAAGCTTTGGGGTCTCAGCCCAGATAGGCTCTGGGGTGGTCTGGGGCAGCCCTGAGGTAAGGTTCCACGAGGGTTCCACCTGGGTTCCACCAGGGTTCCACCAAATTTCCACCAGGGTTCCACGAGGTTCTGCGAGGGCTGCGGGGTGGTGCGAGCACTAAAAAGAGCAGCGCATGCTGTTGGGGATATCACCTGAGCTTATTTCTTTGTTTTCTGGCCGTAGAACGACTTGGTTCCTGGGTCAAAATACATTGGGGAAGTTTCGATTCGTAGCCAATGTTTGGTAGAATCACAATGGATCTAGTGGAGTGACACCTTTGTCAGCATGGCGACCGGCGACAGCTGGGTCAATCCGCGAACGGATTTGGGGGGTATTCTTGGGTTGGAAGATTGACAGGTTTCGGTCGGGGTTTGCCGTCTGTAGGAAGCCCCAAGGGGCCACGTGTCAGCTCCTTTTCCGGGAGCTCGGCGATCCATTTGTCACAGGCTCATGACGAAGCTCCGTTCCCAGTGAACCTTTGGCAGGTTTGTGTAGTTGAATGCCTAGTTGCACCCGCCAAATACGACATATCCATGCAATTATATGTATACACATATATATATATATATACACAGCAAAATGGACCACCAGAAAACCCAAATAGGGTTGTTGGTACTCCCAATTTTAGGTTGCATGTTTTTTTACTACATGATGTTCATGCCCTAGTAGGGTGCAGGTCCCTACTGGTCTGTTGTGCTGCACTTTTTGGGGATGTTAGTTGTCTGTAGATACATTAGGATTTAGGGGGCTTAGGGCTAAGTTTAAATCTGGTTCAGGAGTCACAAGCGTAGACATAGACATAGACATACACGTGACAACAAACATATACGTACACATAGACATTGACATAGGCAACGACTACCCTTCGCCGCAAGTTGAAAGCAAACCGCTAACGCTAACGACAAGTTCTGAAATGATCTGACAGATTGCGAAATCACAAGCAGGCAGCTCGCAACACTGGACGACAGGCAGGGACTGGCGCTTTCAGAGTGGAGCCCAGAGTCAGAACACGCTCGTCCGTTTGTTCATGAAGCTGCATCCGCTTGCGGGCTTTGTGGGCGAGTCGCAGGCCTTGAAAGACAGGTTCAAGGCCAAGGCCTTGTGCTTCCTCGAGGCCGACGCGCAATGACAGCTGGCAGCGGCCCCGCCCTAGCCTGAGCCCGCGCTGCAGCAGGGCCCGCCCGAGCTCACCGATGCGCCGACTTTGGCATCGGACAAGTGCAAAAAGGAGCACAAACAGAAGCACAAGCGCAGAAGAAAAAAACCGCGAAATCAACAATTGGACGCACAAAAGGACCGCCGCTAAACTCCAATTGCCGTCCCCGGGGATCTCGCCACTCAATCTTTATCACGGAATACAAGAAATAGGAGCCCAAGAAACAGCGCCGCAAAACCGCAATTGGAAGCACAAAAGCCCCAATAGGAGCGAAAAAAAGCACCGCAAAGTCAAATTGCTCCCGGCACTCTGCTGAGGCCTTTCTGGGAGCCCTTTGAAAAAAGTTTTAGCGCGGTTGCGCTCTTTGAGTTTGTCCCCGGGAGATTGTTGGAGTCAAAAAGAAGAAGGAGGAAAGCAGGAAAGCGTGGAAAGGAGGGGGCTGGGCAGGCAGTGAAAGCAGGGATGTAGGGTTTGGGGGGTTTCAGGACGGATGGGGGGTGGCGTGTGGGGGAAGCCAAGCAGAGAGGAATGATGCAGAGCCGTCGGGTTGTGTGTGTGTGTGTGTGTGTGTGCATGTTTGACTTTCCCAAGTGTATCTGGGCAATATTTATCATATTGGAATGACTGTCTGAAGCAGTTTATTTCAAGGTCCCCGGGAATATTCTCCAAGATGCAGCAGGAATAATTTGGCTTCAAGGCTGAAAGGGTACGTTTTTTTGTTAAGCAGCCAAGTCGCTTGCTTTTTTGGTGTTTCCTTTCGTGCTCCTATTTGTGCTCCCTTAAAGTTAGTGCTCCGGGGCCAGGCCCAATATATACCCATCTCTTGCCGCCAGACTTTCATCCTCTATCACTTGGTCATCCTGGAAGACAGCCGCCCGGCTTTTCTTCCTTTGCCCCAGCAAACATTTCTTTGAGCCATTCCTAAAGATGATAGGGTAGATCAGTGGCAAAAGGCCCCCTTGGTTTCCGTTTGGCTGATCAAGGATGCAATCCCTGTTAGGTAACTGCCACAGCAGGGGACCCCCTTCACAACCCAGGCAAGGATTAAAAGTTGCCTTTGAACCGCGGCCAAAGTAGCCTGGCAGATTTGAAGCCCAAACTAGGCACATGCCTCAGTTTACCTTGATCAGCCACACTTGGTTCGCCAAATTTCCTGGGTGGGATGAATCTCCAAAGGAAATGTATGGGAGGGGGATAAAAAGGAATCATGGATGCGGGGGGGGGGGTCCTTGAATTCCAAGCTTTGTTTATGCCAGGCGCGATGATTTGGGTGCGAGCACATGGGTGGTTGTCAAACTGAAGGATGCCTCTTTTGTATTCCCTTTAATAGCAGAGCAGCATGTTGCCAATATGCAAGAAAGAACGTCCTCTAATTTTGCTCCACCTTCCAACTGTTGCGTGCAACTTAATGGGGATTTTCAGGGAATCAGCCTCGTTTCCCACGAGCTGCGCTCCTTTGTCGAGGAATGACACCTTGCCTTCACTGTTAGTATGTTTTTGGCCAGGTTTCTCAGAATGTTCGTTCTTTCATCATCTTTTTGTCGGGACTAGGAACAGTCTGCAAAGAGCAGCCAGTTCCTTGGAATTCTAAACCAAACCCTGGCTCTCAGGAACCCCCAAAGGGGTTGAATTGCCCTTCCGCCTTTGATGCTGAATTTTGGAGCGTTTTGATTATGACTCATGTGGGGTGTCCAAAAGGGGTCAGTACTTTTTTAGAGTTGCTCCCCCTATGCTTGGAAAGTACAAGAACCAGTTGGGGGTGAAAACGAGTTGCTCATCATTTGCTTGGCAAACAAATGCGGGCCATGCCAACTGGATGCTTTCATCGAGTCGAATTTCCAACAATGAGCCGGTTCCTTTGCCGAGCCGTCCACCTTCCCTTCACTCTTGGTGGGTTTTCGATCTGTTTGGTTCGGTGATCATCTTTAGAAAGCTGCGAAAATCGAGGCTGTGTTTTTGTGGGTACCCCCTCTTTGGATGGCTTTATAAGGACCACCAAGAGGCCAACCGTTTGGCAGATCCCCTGGGCGACATATGTGTCCATCCCGTTCTGGCGGGCAGTCCTGCGGGCGCCCAACAACGAAACGACCTGCGCAGGTGTCCTTTTTTTGTTGTTTTCATGGGCTTGCGCGCCAGCTTTACGGCCAACTTCAGCTGAGGTAGTTATCTCCTTTGTGTCAAAGATGCGGGGGAGATAGAGGGAGTCCGGAAAGCTCGAACCATTTGGTTCCAAGCTCTCTGGTGGCGCACTGGCGGAGTTCTTTTGAAACCTTTTCTGAGAGGCTCCAGTAAGCCCAATCTTCACAGAAGACCCTCAGAAGATGTTGCATCAGAAGGCTCTGGGCCCTTGAAGGCCCCGAGAGAAGAACTCTCCAGGCAACGCATCTAAGGCGCCCCATCGACCTTGTCGCGCGTCTTTCTATTGCCGTCCCGAACACGAGCATGGTGTCGGCCCTGAGGCTTCAACGCTGCGCAGGAGCGGATGATGAAGACGGGCAAGCTGATCACCAGCTTCCTGGAGATCTACGACCAAGGACGCGTCGGCGGGAGACGTGGGGGTTTTTGCCCTCAGACCACGGGGCTGCCTTGCATGACAAGGTTTTTATTGGGGCCTCCACTCAGGTCGCACTCAAAAGTTGGAGGCTGAGGGTTTTTTCTCTCAAACTAAAGGGATGTGCGGGGATGTTTGGGCTTTCCTTGGCTGTTCTTGCTTGGAGTGGGATGCTGCAAAGGACAAGGGTGGCTCGTTTCCATTGCTTTGGGAGGTCCCCCAATGTGAGACGTGCACAAGGTATTCTCTTGGACCAAAGCACAAAGGTGAGACATTGGTAAACTGTTTGCTTTGGCTTTCCCTTTGCCAGGGCCCAGATTTCTACTGTGCCAGGGTGTGGCAAAGCCAAAGGAATGAGCTAGCCCCGGCTGGGGCTTAGCCCCGGTCAAGTGGTTGGTTGGTTGGCTGGCTGGCTGGCTGGCTGGCTGGCTGGCTGGCTGGTTGGTTGGTTGGTTGGTTGGTTGGCATACCCAGCCTCACCGACCGGCCTCGCTGGGACCTAGGGTTGCCTAATGGCTTGATTTGGTGCAGTTGAGATTTGTTCGGGGCTGGTGTCGGGCGAGTTTGGGCCTTGCTGAGATCTTTGTGGGGGGCAGGTCTTGGGTTGGTTTTGGGGTTCATGTAGGCTTGGCAAAGGGAGAATGTCCAGGCTGTTGTGGGTTGGCTTGGGAGCTGATTTGCGGCTGGTTTAGCAGTGGCTTTAGGGCTGCTTTGGGGATGTGGGTGGAGGAGCTTTGGGCAGCCCAAAGAGGTTGCCACTGGAGTTGCCACCAGGAGGCTTCCCGAGCAGTATCTAGAAGTGGGGTTTTCCAACCCTGATTTGTCCCAGAACCCTAGTCAGGGATTGACGTAGTGCTCCCTCCCATCGCGTCCAGTAAGTAGGATATATATATATATATATAACCATAGTTGTAACTAGGCTAGCTCAGGTCTGATTAGTCTAACGGCTTGGTCTCCTTCTATACACCCAGGGTCAAAACCTTCTTACTTGGGCAAGGAACATCCAAGGGCAAAGCAGAAGCCTAGCTACTGAACACCTACCAAACATTGGTCCCGAAAAATCGCCTCAAGAATGCCTGAAAATGGGGCTCATCCCTGCAAGGGATCCGGTTGCATATTCCTCCTCAGCCCAGCCCGCCAGGCGACTACGGCCAAGTGGATGGTTACCTCCGGCGCGGGATGAAGGCCTTCGAGCTCCTCTGCGAAGTCCGGCTGGGATTGGCGGGTTGGGCTGTTTTTGGCTGCGGGCGTGGTACTCTACAGACATTTAGATGAACATGGAACCCCCCAAAGCCACCATTCTGAAGGGGCGTTCCGAGTTTTTGGGGACTTGTTTCAAGGTTCAAGCTGGTGCATTCTTGGCAGTGTTCCTCCCAAGATTAAACTGATCTAGACCCCCTCGAAATGGGGCACCCCGAAATGAGTGAACCATTTCTACACAACGAAATGATTCAAGAGGCACACCTGGCCATGCCAACAGAAAGGCACCCAGTAGGGACACTCATGTTTCTTCAGAGGTGCCTTTAGACATCGCCTTTGAGCAACCTGCCCCTTTTGTTGGGGGGCCTTGCCCTCAAAAAGGAGTCAAATTGCGCCGCAATCGAACACAAACCGACCCCCCTGCCATAGGTTCCGATATCAACACACCATCTTTTTTCGGGTAATTGTAACTTGAGAGAAATTCGGAAGACCCTACAAGTCAGAAAAGCAACACCCTGAAACAGATCATTTCCTTGTAAACAGGGGAGCCCCTGAGTAGTCCGGTGCTCTTGACATTGGACTTGCTTAGCTTTTGATGAGCGCCTCAACTGGTCGACCTCCAAGATGGAACCGTGTCCCCGCTTTGGGCTTTCTAGGTTGGGCCAAATCTCGCGTTCACTGCGGTTTTTGAGCCCCGCCAGAGAGGGAGGTGGTACTCCTGGTTTCCCCCAAAAGCAACCAAGAGGGGGCCTCCCTCTTGACTACCCCCCCCCCCTCCTCTCCCTCCGCCGCCTCCACGTCGGTGCGGCAGAGTTGTTTTCTTAGGCCCTACAAAGCGATGATCCCGATCCTGGACAAGGCATCGCGCGCTTGTTCAATCAAACATGGAACCTTGCCCTCCAACCAGCTAACATGGAAATTCACAGACCCCTGTAGAAAAGACTACTTTCCTCTTGGAAAGGGCCTTTTTGCACTTCCATGTTAGTTGGTGGGAGGGGACTGGAGGTTTTTGACAGTTTGGCTCTTGTCAATTGTCAAGTCCTTGGGGTCGTTCAGACAGGCTTTGAATTCCAAGACTGTCCAAAAAGTTCCTACTTAGCAGATGAGATGGTCATGTTGACTTCGCGGTTCCTGGGCTTTTTTCCCCCAGCAAAGCGCTTGATTCTGCGGGTAAATCGTGGGGGAGCACATTTGGAGAGTTTTTTTCCACGTATTCGCAGATGCCGGATTCACTCAATGTCTCCTTTCAACATCGCACCGCCTGCTGAATCAAACCTGGCTCGCAAGGCGATGTTGAAGGCATCCAAACAAACACATATCGCTGTGATGTGATCCATGCGGTGACTGTGGCGAGAGTCAAAGACTGAAGGACTCTCATGTGCCCCGCAGCGTGGGAGCAAGGCCTACTGCTTTGCAACACACAGAGACTGCAAAGATAGGTGGGGGAGGGGGGATGTCCCCAAATATACCTACCAAACAGGGACCCCCGTAAATGATCACTCAGGAACGTATTTCCAATTTCTTCTTGTTTGTCGATGTGTTTTCCTCCTTTGCGAGCAACCCTTGTTTCCTTTGGTTCTGCCTTAAACACCAAGCAAACGGAGGTTCCCAAGAAAAAGACAGATCCATTGAACATGTTCGTGGGAAGCAGGTTTGTCTTTTTTGGCTTGTATTTCTGGATCCTTGGGGCAACTGAGCTTTAGTTAGGTGCCCCCCCTCATTTTTGGAAGAACAACCCCAGCTCAGGAAGATTCTAGGGGTTGATTCCCCATTCTTTCAACCATTGTTCTTTCCAAAAGCCGGATCCGTTTTCCCTGGGTTTCCGGAGGTTTTGTAGAAAGGAGGATCCCTGGAAAGAATGGAAATGGAAGGTTCTCCTAGAATGTTACATATCTAGGTCCCCCAGGTGCCCTTTCGAACCCAACTTTTTTGGTTGGGAGATTCGGTTCCCCTAGACTGCTCGCTTTTCGAGTGCCAGGTCTACCCTGAGAGGATACGCGTGGCCTTCGTCCTGAGGTGGGACCTGGGGAAGCGTTGAGTGCGAAAGGAGATGGTTTCTCGGAATGCCTCGAGAGGGGGGTTCCTTTGGTTCCACTAAAAAAGCCCACCCCCGAAAAAGGGAACCCTCCAAAAGGACACACAGATACACACAAACACAAGCAGGTTCGGAGTGGAACCAAATGGAAGCCGATGTTTTAGACAATCCCAAGAACTCGATTCTGAACCCCGGGATCCGTCTTTCCAGATGAACAACCTCCCGGGTAAAAGATTGGTTTTGGAAACAACGATAATTGAACCGAGCAAACATCAACCCGTCGACGATTAGATTCTGCATCATGGAAGATACCTCCCCCTTCGATGAGAGCGCAAGGGATCCATGGGTGTTCGAACGGACCTCAAACGGGCAGCAAGCACAACCTGCTATTCCTTCGTAGTGGAGATTATGGAGGAGTCAAGATAAAGTCGATGAACCTTCCTGCATATTTGGGAGAACACAAAGTGGTTCTAGTACCCCGTGCGAGGATTTCTTGGGTCCACAAAAATAAAGTCGATGAGCTGGCAGGGGAACCCCATTTGCCTTGGGGGGATCCCCTCGCTTGGCTTTGCAACTTTCAAGTGAGCCACAATCAAACCCGGGTAGATGAGAGTTAGTCAGGGGCAATCCCAGTCAATAGCTGCGGCCGCCTTTGTATTTCCTTACATGGTTCCGGGTCAACCATTTTAATACCGGGTTTTGATGGTGACTCAAATCGTGGCAAATTTGTTCCGAAGAGTTACCCTGAGGGAAGCTGATCGGATGTGGGACGTTCCACCCCGAACCTCGACTCCCTATGTCTCTTCCCTTGGACACCGGATCCATGCGCCAAAGAAAGAAACCGGCATGGTGGGCCCGCCCAAAACTGGGATCTCTTTTGAAGTCCTCTGCATTTGCATGTCTTTTTTCCTCAACGGGCCAGAATCAAATCAAGAAACCCATTTGGGTTCGGGGATTCTCTGAGGTTGTCAACGTGCAGAAGCCGTGCTAGGGGGTCCCGTTCATTGTTTTGAAAAGCCGAAGCGAGGCAGGTTCGCAGGAGTCCGATGAGCCTGCAGTGCTCAGGAGGGAGTTTTTGACTCATGCTGCTGAGCTCTTCTAGTATGGCATGTGACATGTGTCAAAAACAAAAAACACCTCCCAAGCCGGCTGGTTTCCCGTTGCTTCCCCTTTCAACCAAGCTCAAAAGGCCACGCACATGATACCAAGTCTAGGTCCCCCAGCTAGGTGCCCTTTTACCCTTTTTTGGGGGAGGGTTCCCCTACTAAAATAGACTACAGAGAAAAGGGTGCCCTTATTCTAACTTCGCTACTGGGGACCTAGAAGTAGTGAAGTGAAACTTCAGGCCCCGATGGTGCGGAGCCTTCGAACAAAGCTGGACATGATCAAAGGGCACCAACGCCAACTTAGGGGATGTGGGGGCGGAATCAACAAGTCCACCCACCTGAGGTACTTGTTCCCTTCCTAAAGGGATGTCTTTGCTTCTTGCGGCGTCCTTTTTCCAACTACTGATGAGACAGTATGTTGCAAACCATGGTTACGAGATGTTGCGAGCAGACTAACCCCAGTTTCTCCACTTATGACCATGCTCCTAGCCCTGACGTCAAGGAACATCCCAGCCAGGTGTCCGTACGTCTTCGCCTCTCTGTGGCGCGTGGTGGAATCCTTGCTGCCTCCGGCCACGGCTGGGGGCACAGCTCGTCCGGGGGAGGTTCGGGGTTAGGTGAGGGCGGGCGTTCTTAGAATAGGGTCGCCTTTTTGGATGGCTAAAGGGGAAACCAAAGAAGTTTGAGAACACCAACTAGGCCCCTCGCAGTGCAGATGTTGGCTTCTCAGCACTTCTTTTGGTACCGGGGGTTCCCTTCGAGCTACCGGCAACTTTTGGGATCTTTCATCGACACAGGCGCTGAGGGTCGTGACGGTGACGTTTCCAATGCAAACCTCGAATGGAGCCCTTGAAACCAACCCCCTTTTTGAGGATCACAGACACAACGACGCCCCTAATCCCTGGAAAGACGAAACACGTCAGGAAGAGCACAAATGAGTGCGCCGAAAGTGAAAGGACGCAGGAACAAGCGCATAATCGAGTCCCCGAAAAAACGCCAAGCAAAAGACAGAATGGAAATGCATGGAAGGGATGTTCAAACTCAGAGGATTCGTATGTCGGGAATGCCGCAAAATTGCCCCTGAGTAGGATGAGTGAAGGGTGGACTTCGGATTTGTTTTGCATGAAGCAAGCAATGAAGTATAGGTTTCATAGGGCCGTCAAATCATGTCTACTTGGTTTGTACAGCAAGGCCATTTTAGAGTCTTACAAGGAGGTTGGTGCAACCAAGGGGTGTTGCTCCATACCTGGCACGCCAGCGTGACACCGAGTGACCCTGGCTTCATCAGAACGGATCAATTTTTGCAGGGTTTCGTTGCTTCATCGCCCCAGGGAAGGGACATCAACAACTCGTGGGGTTTTGTTTACCTTGAGGGTTATCGAAAAGGGAACCCTGAATGTTTGGACCCTCCCCCAGAAACGGTCTTCTTGGTAATTATGAAACCCAAACTTTTTGATCGATCGATTACTTTGGCAAGGCCAGGGCTGTGGGAGGGATGTGGGTGTGTCTCAAAGTAAATCTCAAAAAAGGTTGGCATTTTTGCCTTTCCATCCCCCGCCCCCAACAAACAAAACAGAACAAAAACCAGAGAGGGTCCACCCGTTTTTGTTGCCGAGGGGACATGATGGTTTCCTGCAAGAAGGGACACACACACACACACACACACATCTGTATCCGTTTCCCGTTTCCCCTTGAATAAAACCATGGGGCCGTCGGCTCGACGGCTCAGCTGAGCAGTCTTGAGGTGAAGAAGATCCGCATCAAGGGCTACCCTGCGAAGACCTTCGTTTCAGAGATCAAGGACCCGTGGCGGATGGAGTACACGTGCCCGAAGAAAGCCGGATGGGTTTGGTAGCTAAAAGTTGCTGGAGGGGTTTGGCTGGAGCCGAGGCGTCGGGTGGCTGGAGCCGAGGCTTCGGGTGGTGGCATTTGTTTTTCTAAACGCCTGGCCCCAGATGCGGAGGGTAATTGCAGGGACCTGGCTTCTTGGCCGCGGAATTCCCACAGGGTATGACCAGGGGGCAACTCTTCGAGAACCGGGCCTTGGTCCCTAGGAAGCGGAGGTGGTTGAGACTCTACCTGTGCAACATGTCCAACTGTAAACTGGATGGCCCAACGCTGATTGGACGACTCTTCCAGGGTCCGGCCTTCAGGAAGCTAAAAACACCTCAGTCGCAGCATTAAAATGCACGCGGGAGGGACACAAAGCAAGTGGGCAACTGGGAAGTAGATTGTTGCAGAGGGCCAGAGCAGACGGCAGGCTCAGGACCAGCAGTGTTTTGTTTTGTGCGTTTCTGGGTCATGTCTGGGCTGTTGGCTTTTCTCTTCATTCGCGCTTCAACCCAACACTGTTGCAAGCCAAGGCCTTGCCCCATTTCCCTTAGAGGGGAAAGCGAAAGGGATGTTCCATGGGATCTGGGATGTAGCGACAGCTTTCGGGTCTTAGCCAATCCTGGGTTTGGGGCTGCCTTGGGGCTGTTCCGAGCTTCTTGTTGAGACAATAGAGTCAATTTGGATTCCCCTCCTGACAGGCAAATGAGCTACACACGTCACTGTAATGCAAAGCCACGCGACTGGAGAGCCCAAAGAATGTCGTGAATCCCCATCAAAATGTCTCTTCAATCCTTGAAGGTCCCGCGGTCCAGTGGCTTGCAAGGGCTGAACCAGGGGCCCTTTCGAGCGTAGGAATACATGCTGGAGTCCAACCTCCCACCGCACCTGCGCCGCTCGGACTCGGCTGGATATCAATGGCGGGGCTGGGTGGTTCCTCTGGCACACAAGGAAGCCTCATATGTGGCTGTGGGTCAAAAATAGGTACCCAAAGTGGAAACCTGGTAAATGGAAACTTGGACTACAGCCTGGTCCCCTGGTGGTTTAATTTTGACCCACACCCATGTAGAGTCTCCTTGTGGTGGCGCCCCATGTTTTGGTTTGTGCCCCCAGGTTGGATGAGAAGCCTTTGATCAGAACAAAACTTATCCCCTTTCCTGTTTTGTTCTTTTTCTTTCTTCTTTTTTCTCCCTTTCAGCATCACCCTTTGAGGCATGTTAACTTTTGGCTATTTGACAGAGAGCGACCCTGCTTTGGGAATGGACGGCGAAGCGTGGCTGGCTGTCCCTGAGTCTCTGCGCGGTTTTGCCGGCCACTTTGCGAAACACCCACCAGCGAATGCGGAAATTGGGAGGCTTCCAAGCACCAGCCAGGTTCTTCTGGTTTGAGACATCAAAGAACTCCGATAGGAACGGCCGTCAACACAAGCCAAAGGTGGTTTGAATCTGATTTGAGAACACCCCCCGCCATCTGGGTTCACGGCGAAAATGCGCTCAACATGTTTGTATTTCGGGTTGTGCAGGGTGAGAGAGTGCAGCTGGTGCATGTATGCCATGGTCGAAATTATTTGTTGCTCGGGATTGGTAGGGGCAGTCGTCGCCAACTTACGCGGAATCACCACAACTACACGGTGTGTTTTGGGCTTTTGCGGATATTACCGGCCTCAGCTACAACCAACCCGAAACTAATAATTGATCAAAGATACCGAATGCTCACATCATTTGGCCGCATGCGCTGGGTTCGTACTTCTTTTGGGGGGTGGGGTGCTGTTGGGCGTTGGATTTCCTTGCCACTCTCATCATGTCAATTTTGAGCATTGCCCCGCGCTAATCATGGTAAGCTGCATACGTTCCTTTGAGGCTGCCCCTAGACATGGGTGTGTCTCAAAATTGGGAAGCCCTGCCCCCGCAGGTTGGTTTCCCACTTGGCTTCATTTAAGCCACGATCCAAGCCGGGCTCCCCGTTTTGAGACACAGCCAAATGCAGGTCGGTCAGCACCAATGGTACCATTTTGGTTGGTAGGTGAATGCACCACGCAAATTTTAGAACCTATTTTAGTGGTTGGATTGGGATGTTCACTGGGGGTACGAAATTTGGGTTTTGACCCATCGCCAAATCGGACTCGTCGGGGGTTCCTTCAGGCAGCGACGATCGCTCCCTCTTGGCGGCTGGGGGCCCTAGGGCGGCGGATCTGAGTTGGGAAGGGGTTGCAACCGGGTCCCAACTTCGCGGGTGTGCCTTGTTTTGAGTCGGTACCTTCTTTGGGCTCAACAGGGGAACAACATTTTGCTATGTTGCGGGGTTTTTCGGGCTCATACTCAAGGAACACAAAAGGGCAGCAGCATTATTTTTTTGTGGGGTCGCTGCGTCGCAGACCTCTTGTTTCTTGGGTAGACTGCGAGTGGTCGGACACCCGAACACGTGCGTCAGAGAGTTGCGCCCCTTTTTGGGGCTGTTGGAATCCTTAAACCGGGTCGTTTTGAAGAGGATACCAAGAGATTTCGCCGGGGAATGCTTCGGGCACTGCATGAAACCCCGCAGACAATCGAAGCTAGAACGTGAGCCACGTGCTCAAATCCGGGTAGATTGAAGGTTAGTAAGGGACAACCCCAACCATAGATGAGTATGGGTCAACAGTAAACCACCAGGGGACCGCAGGTTTTGGTCCATGTTTCCATTTACCAGGGTTCCATTTTGGGTACCTATTTTTGACCCACCGCCAAATAGCTGCGGATATTTGCCTTCGAAACTCTTGAAGCATGGTTCTGGGTCGACCATTTTAAAACCACATGACTCAACATGACCGTGGGTCCTCAGCACGTGTGGGCTTGGCTGGCTGCACAGGGCAAGCTGGATGGATCATTTCTTAATATTTCCAGAGCCCCGTCTGCAGGGTTGTGGGAATGGGCTTGTTCTTCTCCGCAAGGAAGCAGCTCCCGAGATTTGGAGGACTTGTTTTTTTTGGGTCCGTGCCAAGTGCCCATGTCATGCTCGCCAGACCATCTCACCACAAAGGTTCTTCGGCACTTCAGGTTTTGCGGGGGTGCTTGGCTTGGTACTTCAATCAGAGGAACGGCGACGTTCGGTCCTGACCTGGCACCAGCTGTGCAGGGGGTGCCCTTCTTAGCAGCTCTTCACCTCACTTCCGGCCGACGTTGCGGAGGAGAGGTCCACGAAGGAGTGGCGGGGCTGCCAGAGCTGGCCGGCGCCATGACCAGCACGCGGTATCGCTCCGGACAAACGTTGTTCGGCACGTTCGGATTTCTCCAAACTCCGGTGTGCGTGTGTGTGTGTGTGTGTGTGTGATTTCGAGGCTGCCAGTTTCACCTTAGCTTACAAGAGAAACCTAAGGGAAATCCAAAGTCCTGTTTTTCGGGGAGGGTCACATGGGTTTGTCTCAAACCAAAGCCCTCCAAAATAGGTGGTTTCCTTTTGAACTTCCATTTTTCTACGCCAACCTCAACTAGGCCCCCCAGCTAGGTGCCCTTTCTCACCCCTTTTTTGGTTGGGAGGGGAAACCCCTGCTAAAAATAGACAGAAGCAAAGTCGGGTGCCAACTTCTTCTAACCTATCTACTGGAGGACCTAGCTACCCATCGCACCATTCCCCTGAAAAAAAAGAAGCCCTGTTCCCTGGCAAGGGGAATCATTGAAAACACCCTGTTCCTTGGTATTTACAGGGGATTTATCGGAATCACTCCAGGGTTTCGTAGCCTTCTGACACCAAAAAACCGCGGCGCCCGGTTGAGCGGCTCGAGCGGCTTCGAGGCGGCTGAGCCTTGGGGCGGCTGGGTGCCGGTTGGCGCCGGGGACGAGTGAGACCTCGCGCGGGGCTGGCGGAACTGGGCGCGGCTGTGGAGGGATCCGCTGTTGTGGGTTTGGTTTGAAAGGGACACCAAAAGGAAACCACCCATTTCGGGGGGGAAGATCTTTGATTGTTGTCTGTTTGAGGTGACACCGCGGCAGCCCAGGCTTTGGGGATTTTGCAAATTGGCGTGGAATCCATGCTGGCCGAAGCTGTACTCACACCACTAGAAGCCCGGCTTCTGGCACAAGACCCTCTTTCTAAGAGGCTTTTGTGGTGCACAACACTTGGTATTTGACAGCTCTTGGAAGGTTGCATTCTTCTTTCGTTTTTACTTTCTTGATCCTGTTCATGTTTAGCGCGTGTTTCCTCTTTTTGCGGATTGGGAAGGTATCACGTAGCTATGTGTCGAGTTGCAGGCTCTACCAATGCGATACGCACTGAATGCTCAACATCCCAGCCCCGCCCACTCCCTATAGACGTTCTGGCGTTTCCTGCAGTCTAAGGGCCCAGCCGTGTACCCCTGGCTAAGTACTATGGTTATGTGAATACATAGGTGTGCAGCTTTTTGAGGATACTCTTCTTGGATGGTTGTAATCAGAAGCCCGGAGGACATCACTCATGTTCGGATTCCCCTATTCTGAGACAAACCGTTGTGTAGGCCTTCAGATGACCCCTTGTTGGTTTGAATTGGTGGCCTGGGGGTGTGATCTTGGTTCTTGAGTCAACACCGGAAGTACCCCTCACCTCCAAACCGCCAAGACAAACCAGCCGGCAAATGCCGATAAGGGCAGTGGCTGATTTGCTCTGCAGCGGCGCTGTTTTGTAAGGGGCACGCATGGCAATGGGCCCTTGGATGATGATAGTGCAAATGCCCTCGTCGAGAATAGTGTCAACTCTTTCGCCGCGCTGCAGCGCGGGAATTCGCATGCTCGGGTCCGCTCGCTGGGAGAAACCGATTCGCGTCGCATTTTCCCAGTGCGAGTGCGGCTGTAAATAACGAAATGTGGCCAGGATAGTGCAACTCCCCCGAGATCCACACGTGCCCAAGAGCGTGGTCCAGGGTGTGGGTAGGTTTCCCTGCCAACCCTATGTCCGGGTCATGTCAACGGTTAGTATAATCTTACATCTTTGCCCTTTGCCCCTCACTAAGTGTTGACGGCAGAATATAAATCCAGGGTCAGGGTTGAACACTGACGAAGTAACATACCCAAAGCAAACCGGGGTCTTTGTTTCTCATCGTATCTTGCATAAAGTCTCTCATTCACTGAGTATGGTCCTGAATCAAACATATGTTTTTTGGCTTGGGAGCAAAAGCTGAGGAAGACGAACTGTAACACGGCTTCGACTTTTGATGGGACATGTCCTCCCAAATAGTTGGTGGACACAAATCCCCCATGTAAAAGATGTCCACAAGAGGGTCTTCCCTTGTTCCTGCCCAGACACCCAAGAACTTGGTGGCTCCCAGCCATCCGGTTCCTTAGCTTTTTGGTTTTTCAGCGTTTAGTGGTAGTTTCCATTTAACCAACTAAAAGTTAAGCTTTAGAGGGGGATCTGAGGTCAGCCCAGAGCCGTGTTCTTTGAAGGGGAAGTTGTTTCCCCGGCGCGAAGGAACCGAGGCCGGAATTGATCCCGCGACGGGATGCGACATCTCGGCAAAGTCTGCTCAGTGACCGGACGCGGCGGAAAAGAGCGGGCTGAGGTAGTTCTTTAAGTTGAAGTTCCTCTTTTTAAAGATCGTTCTTTTCAACACCCAGCCCTTTGTTTGGAGTTTTTTCAAAGCAAAACGATTGAATGTTGTGTTGCTGATGAGAATGCACACCAGCAACATATTGAAGTCAACCTAGATTCTGCCGGACCTTCAAAGTAAAAACACGCGAGTCCCTCGTTCAGGCCGATTCAGCCAAATGAGCCTCACCAGCATCACAGGTCCCTGAAAGTGGTTTGCACTTGAGGTGGTTATCCTTTGACACACCCCATGTAGAGAGTAATTGTGCGGATGCGTACGGGCGTGCCTGAAAGTTCGGACCCTTAGGGGACCTGCTGTTTGGGAGACCAACAGGGAACCAAACTTTTGCAGGGGGTCCCTCACTTTGAGACATTGTGACATATCCAAGTGTGGTTGGTGAAGCAGCAGCGGATGGACATCTCGACTTTTTGGTCCTGGAAGAAACTGGAGTATATTATAACTGTGGTTATAAGCTATAAGGGAGTGAACCGCAGTTGCCCAGATATAAACATGGTTGCCACCTACTTACCAAGTTGTTGAACATCCGTGTACAACCAGACCTTGCAGCTCCGCTTGCACGCGTCTCGCCCGGAGCGGTGAACTCAGACGGCCAATTCGCGCGCTGCTTCGATCGGCGCTGGACATCGAGAGGGGGTCATTCAAAAGAGGCCTGGATCCAGTCCCTTTTCTGAGATCTCCAAAACCATGTTCTATTGTGTAGTCTAAATATGCAGAATCTGATCACATATTTTTGGTCCCTTCAAAGTCAGCCAAACTGGAATTTGCCCGGAGCACGGAAAACTACTGCAACTCCACTAGGTGCTTTTCTGTGGGGCTTTCCTGATTTTCTGGTTTGCCCAGACTGCAATTCAGCGCCATCCCACCGGTAAGGCACGACGAAGTCCTGGAATCATGACCTAAGTTTTGGTTTGCCCTTTTGTCGTTGGGTTAGCCATTGACCAGAGACCTGATGGAGTGCAGACCCAATACCATGAGAATGAAAGCGGGGGACTGCCTACAAAGCTTTGCCCAGGGTTTGATCGTGGCCCATGCTAGTGTAGTCCATGAGCTCGGACTTTTTCTGGGAAGTTTGCACTGCGGATTTGTGATGAACTTGAGCGCTGAGTTTGCTGGCGCCGGTTCGTATGCGGCGCTTTTTCTTCAGCCTAGTGTCGCATGGGGGGGCCGAAGGAAACCCCAGGAATGGGTGTTCCTAGTTTCCCTTGCGCAATCTAAATTCGGGCCCGAATTTGGGATCAGACTGGAAGGGAATGTTTCCTTTGACCAAGAAACTTGGACTAGGATCCGAGAGTCGGAGATCGGCAAATCCGATCCAGTTGGGTCTCCGGACCTAGATTTTGTTCACAGAAACGCGGGCGCACACATTTTGAGTGCTCATTGTTGAGCCTTTTGGGATGGATGGATCCTATCTGACAAAAATCATGGCTGGCCTATAGTGTCACCTCAGCCGTTGAGACATTTTGGGAAACCAATGGCATTTCCATAGGTTGACCGTTTGTTGGCTCGTTCGTTCGGGGGAAGAAATCGCAGGGAATAAATCTGGTTCTCGCAGCTTCGCCCCAGTGCAGCTCTTTTAGCTGTCGGACAAGTCGACAATTTCGCGACCCTTTTGGCTGAAGCCCGGACGATACGGTCCGTTTTTTCTTCGGCACAGACTCGATTCGATTGCTCCTCAGCGGCCACAGTTTCGTCGAAGTGATGTCTCTTCCGGTGTTTTGTGAGACTGTTGCCCGGATCTGTGGTAACTTTCTTATTTTTAGAAAGTTCCTTTTGGGAAACCCACACCCACCCAAGGGACCACAATTTGGACGAACACCCATGTGGATATGGGTCAAAATTAAACCACCAGGGGACCGCGCGTTTTGGTCCATGTTTCCATCTACCGGGATTCCATTTTGGGTACATATTTTTGACCCACAGCCATCTACGAGCCATTTTGGAGAATGTTCCTCCCAAGCATGGGGGTTAACGCAGCAGGCAAGTCGGGCTTCGTAGATATCCCATGCGCTACCTCCAAAACAATTTGACGCCCACGGAGAAGCACCACTTCCAGGTATTTTCTCCATTTCCCGTGACTGGAAACCAACAGCCAGCCAGCTTTGGTTTTGGGTGGTTTAGGGGAAGCCCAAGGGACATGTTGATGATAGTCGGGCTCTTTGGAAGAAGCAGATTCCAATCTCCCGTGTTTGCATGAACAAACAAAATGACACGTTCTCCTCGCTATTGATTTCCCCAAGTTTTACAGTTGTTTTGTTTCAGTCAAAACTATTTCTTGATATTTTCAAATAGATGTCAATTGAGATGATCTAAATATGTGTAAAAATGATCTGAATCCTCATCTCAATCCTTGATCTCAATCTTTGGTACCGGATCGCCCCTCAGATCTCTTGCTGAACAGATCTAGCTTCTCCATGACCGGTGCAACTTTCGAACGACCGTTCGCGGTGAATATTTGCTTAATACTGATTGGATCTGAGACAAGAGCAGACCAGGAAAAATATTGATTGCCTCAAGAACCATTCTGAGCACTTTTCAGAAAACCATTTTGCTGGTAAGGAGAGGCACTAGAACTCCTTACCCCCTGAAAGATTCTCAGAACCAATCAGAACCCCTTTGAAGGTAGAATCGGTGGGGGACAGACCGGGGTTTTACTAAGTCGTAGGCGACGCAAAGAACTTTGCTGCCGGTTTCCTTGTTACACTGGACCGCTGAGGGGCCCTGCTTTTCCGCGAGGGTTTTCTAGAAAGCTGCAGCGGGCCTCCGGTTGCGCAAGGCCTTGCTTTGGTTAAGATAGGGAGCAACGCAGTTACAACAGCTGCTCTCACGAGCAATGTGTTATACGATTCAATAGTCCACGACCCCCTTCTAGTTATTGAGGCCACTGTGGTGCATGTATTTGGTGCCAGCCAATATGAAAGAATATGATAACTGGACTTGGAAGTGGTAAATGTGTGTATTGCAAAACTTTGAAACGGGGAAGTTGCGTCATGGCCAGTCACAGACATATTCTGTTTGTTGGCGCCCTTTACGCACCTGGAAGACGGGGGTTAGAGCCAACAGCTTCGCTCCTTTGAGACGGGTGCGGAAAAACGGGGCTTGAGGAAGCCATGGGCCCGTTGAAAGGGGAGATGTCATGTGGTTCTTCCACCAATCAGCGGTGAAAGCGCACTGGGGATTTGGGAGCGGCGAGGATGGGCCGAGTGGTAGCGGATTCCTCGAGGTATGCCAAACTTGCGAAACAACACGGCTGCACTTTGGTGCATGTTGCTTGGAGATCAGGACTTTAACTTTTTGCCAACTAATGGGTTTTCAATTAAACCACTAAAAGTT